GATATGGTTTGTATTGCCAGCTATATTTGATTATGTATGTTACTTAACATGATTTGGTTTTCCTCTATGATTAGTTTTTCCTTTACTGTACTACCTCCCGCTGTTGGTTTTCATTGTTATTTTTCATTTCCTCTTGCTGTAGTGTTTTGCCAAGGATGTTTTGAAGAGCTGGTTTTCTAGCTGCAAATTCTTTTAACTTTTGTTTATCGTGGAAGATTTTTATTTCATCTTCAATCCTGAAGCTTAATTTCGCTGGATACATGATTCTTGGTTGGAACCCTTTTTCTTTCAGCATTTGAAATATGTTGTTCCAGGAACTTCTGGCTTTCACAGTCTGTGTTGAAAGATCAGCAGTTATCCTGATTGGTTTATCCCTAAATATAATCTGCTTCCTCTCTCTTGTGGCTTTTAAGATTCTCTCCTTATTCTGTATTGGGCATCTTCATTATTATGTGTCTTGGTGTGGATCTCTTATGGTTTTGTACATTTGTGTCCTGTAGGCTTCTAGTATTTGGATTTCTTTTTCATTCTTTAAGTCTGGGAAGTTTTCTAGTATTATTTGATTGCTCATTCCCTTGGTTTGGACCTCTATACCCTCTTGTATCCCCATAACTCTTAGGTTTGGTTTCTTTATGCTATCCCATAATTCTTGGATGTTCTGCTCATGATTTCTTAACTTTCTTGCTGAGCTCTCTATGTTCTTTTCAAGTTGAAAAGCTTTGTCTTCGTTGTCTGAAGTTCTAACTTCTAATTGTTCTACTCTGCTGGTAATACTCTCATTTGAGTTTTTAATTTGGTTTATTGTTTCCTGCATTTCCAGGATTTCTGTTTGTTTTTTATATCCTCTATCTCCTTATAGAGTTGATCTTTTGCTTCTTGGATTTGTTTATGTAATTCATTGTCAAAGTGATCTTTCATTGTCTGAATTTGCTGTATAATGTCTTCCTTGAGACTCCAGGTCATCTGAAGCATGTATATCTTGAACTCTTTGTCTGATATTCCATCCGCTGCAGATATTACCTCATCTTATGTTGAATTGACCTGTATTGTTTGTGGTCCTTTCTTTCCTTGTCTTTTCATACTGTTCATGATTCTTTCTAGCTTTGTGAAACTGTTGTGTTAATGTTTTTCCCCTTATATATTTGTATTGTTCTTGTATAGCTTCAAAATTCCTCTTTTGCGGAGAAAGACGATGTTAACAGTTCCCAATATCAACAGTACATCATCTAAGCACAAGTTTTCATTATTAATACATTTATAGTAAGATTCTAAGTCTATAGATATTGGTTTTAATTATTACTTAAGAATATATTCATTAGTTTCATAAAAGGCATACCATATCTGGTGGCATATAGAAAACTTAATTTCAGACGAAGGATGTTATACTTAAAGGGAAAGGAGTGAGGGTATGAGATTAAATTAACTTAGCACCTTTGGAGAACTGTAACCAATAGACTGGTAATTTATGGAAGAATGTATAGACTCAACCTCCTATCTGTATTTAGATAGTTACCCTATGAATAGATAGCAAAAGTTAGGAGATTGAAAGTGGGATAGAGAGAATACAAATGAAAAAAAAAGAACAAAAAATAACAAGGAAGAAAAGAGAAATAAGAGAGAAGGAAAAGGAAAGTAAGATAGAAATAAAGAAAAAAAATGGGGGGAAGGTGGGGTATATGCAATTCCTCTATATTATATTACTTTGGTAATTCGGTTTTTCATGCACAGTTCTTGGTTTCACATATGTTGAAATTGTGGAAGAGAGAGAAGAAAAGAGAGAAAGAGAAAAAAAAAAGTCTCTCAGATCACTATTTTCCTTGCTTCCAGTAGGTGGCGTCTTCTATTCCTAGCTTGAGCCTCTGTATTCAGGGTGGTGGGTATAGCCAGTGTGAAAGGAATGAGCTTCCACCTGTATCTTCCCTACTCTAGTCTCTGAGGTAGAAACCAAGTGCCTGTATAGTTGTTGTTTTGCGTTGATAGCTACAACCCCCAAAAGCTTGTGGGAAACATTTTGAGTTATCGCAGCTAAGGCTGGGGGAGTTGGAAATCGGGTACCTGGATCAGCGGCAGAACCGTGCTGGTAGCCACACCGCCTTTGATGGGTTTTAAGGGTAAATGGGCTTCCTCCGGACTAGCACATGGGGCGGGGCCAGGCTTTCTCCTCCTCTCTGGCTTGGCTGGCGCCAGACTGCTTCCTCCTCCTGTCTGGCTTGGCTGGTGTCCGGCTGCTTCCTCCTCTGGTCTCTATGCATATACTTTTTACAATATAAATTTGGCTGCTCTATAGAAAATGGGATGGAGGGGGAGATAAGTGGAGTTGGGAGACCTAGAGGTAGGATAGTGGCAAGGAGTAGGATGGTGATGTTAGAGAGGGGGCGAGCAAAATTTATGGTCAGAGAAAAGTATAGTTTCTGGTTTGGTTTTGCTTTTGTGCTTCAGTTAAAACTTCATAGCTTGTTTGACTTCCAGTTAGCCTTTTAATTCTTTCTTGAAATAATTTGGCAAGATATATAAGCTTCAGGGTATTACCGTAAATTTTATTTTATTTTATTTTATTTTTTTGGTCAGATTAATTAGATCAGTATTTTTTTTTTGGTCATATAAGAAATACATCTTTATTTTTAAATGTGAGAAATGACAGCTTATAAATAATAATTAAATGAAAGCATCAGTAATGCGTTTTTGAATAGTCCATGTGTTTTTACTAGAATTGGTGCCATGTGATGGATGGAATATTTTTTAAAACGTGGAAGAAACAGGGCTGGAATTGTGGCTTAGCGGTAGAGCGCAGGACCTGGGTTCGATCCTCAGCACCACATAAAAATAAAAGCATTGTGTTGTGTCCATCTACACCTAAATTAATTAATTAATTAAAAGTGGAAGAAACTTTATGAGCATAATTTAAGAATAATTGCTATTAAGAGTTTCAATAAAAAGCAATGTTATAGAAGGAAATGTAGCTATTACATAATTAAATGAGCTTTTAGTCACAGTCACATGACATTTCTTGCATATTTATTATACATCATAATTTAGTACTTCACAGTCTTCAAAATATTTTCTAATTTTGTTAGACAAATATTATTAGAAATCTTTAGTGTATATTCTTTATTAATGGGAAACTGTACTATTGTTGTTCTTACTAATACAAAGAAGTTGCTTTGAGTTGAGATTTTTGGATTTTCTTATAGTCTTGGAAGAAAGTCAAGCAGTGGAAAATAGTGATGTTGAGTAGAGATATAGAATATTGTTTTTCCCTTTTCCTACTCTCATCATGTTTCTGTATTAAAATAGAAATTAATGCTTAATATTTAAAATAATTTGAATATATTTGCCTTTCTTGATGATTTTGTTCGTTTTAAATGTCATTATGTCCTCTATAATGAATCAAGATGCGTTTATCAGAGGCTTCTAAAATTGGTATATTTTATTTTGTTTGAAAAAAATTCAGTAAATTAAATAAATAATAGTGCATTATGAAATAGAACATATATAACTTGGAACATTATATATTCTGTTTTCTTTCATTTAATTTCTTTAATTCTTAAATTTGTTAGAATGAGCCATATAGATTAAATGAGCTAATGGACTATGCTCAATAAATTCTATTTCTATAAAATTTTGAAGTATTGATGACTGAGTAAATATTTATTTAAAGATTTTTGAAAGGTACTCACATAGATTTTGACATTTTTTTTTTTTTAAACAGGGGAAAAAGGACTCTAGAAACAACTGCTAGTTAAAGTTTTTTAGATTTTTATTTTGAGGCTGAATATTATTACCAAGTTTATTTATATGCCTATATATGTTGCTCTTCAAATAATGTTAATCTTCTGTCAAAGATAATACTAAAATGCATAGTTTTTGGTGTTAATTTGTTTTGCTGTTCATGTATTTAGAATTTATTTTTTCTGTTCATATATGCAATAAATCATATTTGTGGTCTTAAAATAGTATATGAATATTAATAACAATGTTTTTAATTGAAAATACCCTTCTGTTTTTTCCTTAATCCCATTATCGCTCTTTAAAGCTTCCTTTCAAAAAGTGACTGTAATCAAGTCAAGTTTTTCACTAGTACTTTATTATCCTTGTGTTGGTAATTATGATAATGAATTATTTTGTACTCCTCTGGTTTCTCACAGTACCCAACATCTCCATGAATATGCTTCTTGTCTTTTATCTACTTGATATGTTCCTGAAATGGGGAAGTTATTTTACTACTACTTTCAGAAAAAAACAACACTGAAAAAAATGCTTATTTAAAAATATTCTATCCAGAGAGAGATGTAATTGTATTATCTTTTTTAAAAAACCTCTCACTGGTGTGCTGAATTAGCAGTGTCTTGAGTTCCGTTGTTTTGAGATTAAAGTACTAGATAACTTTATGAAATGAGTCATCACTTATTTTACAAGTGTTCGAAAGGCTTTTATGTAGTACTTTACTTAATTCTTTTAAGTCCCTCATTTTTCTGTGATGAGTTATTTCTAGTGGTTATGTTTTTAAGTGCTAGCTTATGCAAATAGAAATAAGATCAGAGGCAAGAGTTTGGATTATATAACTAAAAGAAAGAGTATGGAGAATTCAGACAGGTTCAAAAGAAACCAAGAAATATTTGTAACACTCTTTTAAAAGCAAACAAAAATATTATGTATCCTTTATGTATTCTTGTGTCTGGGTTGAGAAATTGTGTGATATACTGTGGTCAAACTCATTTCATATTTAACTGGAAAAAAATAATTTCTTTTCATATTTTCATGAAGTAGATAGTATTTTTAAGCTTTGACACATAAAATAATTCAAATAATATTGTTAGAAGACTTAATGAAGTAAATTTGATATACTTTGGGTCTTGTAAAATGGGGACCAAATGAAAAATAATTAAAATTTCAGTATAAATTTGTAGTCTGTGATAATAATGTGTATCAGTCATTAAAATGAACTCACTTTTTTTGGTAAAGCATTTATATATTGCTTTTATATAATTGTTTTCTAAAAGGTCAAAAGAAATAGACTGGCAACCTTATTTTACTACACGCATTGTAGATGATTTTGGCACACACCTACGAGTATTCAGAAAGGCTCAACAGAGAATAACAGAGAAAGACGATCAAGTAAAAGGTAATGTCTTTGTTCCATTCGAAAATTAGGATTTAAAACTCTGTTTTCTTTTTCATCTTCTAAATTTTATATTGTTTCTTCCTTTCTTCCAGGCACAGCAGAAGATCTTATAGATACCTTCTTCGAAGTTGAAGTTGAAATGGAGAAGGAAGTTTGCCGTGACCTAGTGTGCACTTCTCCCAAAGATGAAGAAGGTTTTCCTTTTAATATAATTCTTTTAAGTACAGTAACTGTTTAAAGACAAATTATCAGAACAAATTTAAGGGTAAAATTATTTGTACACAGGAAGAATAGTGAAGACACTGTTCATTTTAACTCTACAAGTTGTTTCTACATTCTTTTTTCATCCATTTAAAAATTCATGTGTTGTCTTTTTTAAATATAACAGCACAAACGTTTAAAATTAAATGTTTTATTTTATGAACTGTAATAAGATTATTGTCTGTTACCCTAAAATATTTTCTAAGGAAATCATTATAAATCATTATAAACAAAATCATTATAAATGAAATCATTATAAATGGTTTCAGATGAAATTTATAAATTCAAGTGAACATGCCTTTTCTTTGTGACAGATTAGTCCAGAGACATTTTAATTCATTTTTTTGAATTTTACAATTAAATATTTGCTAATTAGCACATTAAAAAATTAACAATATTGTCCATTTAATTTTATTCCCAGGAAGTATCAGATAGGAACACCCATAGGGGAAAAAAATGTAATTTGTTTTTCTTAATAAATAATAAATTATTTTCTTAGATTTTTGAAAATGTGCTAATCTTTTTTCCCTTTGCCTTTCTTTTCTTCTTTCCCCCTTTTTTCTTCTTCCCTTTTTACATGTATTATATAATTTAGCTTTTACTTGCCAGTTCATTCTCACTATTATGAAATAATAGCTAAATCTAAGAAGTAATAATGACATACAATATTTTACGTAAGTTGAGCTCACTTAAATCAGAATAGCAGAACGTGTTCTGCATCTCTTTTGGAGAAAAATTTAATAATTCAAGTTTCTTGTGTGATTCAATAAACTGTCTAAAACTGAACAGAATTAGAGAAATTTTAATTTGGTTACTAAATAGTATTTGAAGAACAGTGAAGTAAATTTTAATAAATGCTGATGTGTACTAATTACTAAAAGAGTAAGTCAGTACAGCTAGGGAATGCTTATTTCTACCTTTTTTGTGTGTCTTATATTAAGAGCAGTTGGAGATTTTAGGTTTTCTAATGTTATTATAGCTACCTTTTCTATTTTTAGGATTCCTAAGAGATTTGTGTGAGGTCTTATTATATTTATTGCTACCTCCTGGAGATTTCCAGAACAAGATCATGCGATACTTTGTCAGGGTAAGCGTAAACTCATACCAAATAATGAATGTAAAGAAACTTAGAACAGTAGTTCTCAAAATTTTTGGTCTCAAGACCCAGTTAAATTCTTAAACATTATTGAAGACCCAGAAAAGGTTTTGACTCAGATTCCCTGATAGGGTCTTGGGGACCTTTTCCCAATTCCCCCGAAGTCCCTGTCTAATGCTTTGTTAACTTCCTAAGTTAGGTGCTTGGATTTTGAGTTATAACAAGGGTAAATTCTTAAAAATTTTCAGTACTCTATAGCTTTACCTAAGGTAGACAAGATAAAAAGAACATTTCTGGACAGAAACTTCAAATAGAACTGAGCAGCTAAAATTTTAATTTTCATTAAAGATGAGAACAGTAGGGATTCTATTCCTGTAATGAAAGTCTTTGGAGTAAAACTCTTGTGTGTAAGCATAAAGGAATAACATTTGGCTTTGTCTTCTGGTTTTGATTAAGAAATGCTACTTACTTAAGACCTTATCCTGGTTGCATGGGTAAAATTAAAATATTGAATTTGCCTGAAAATCATAATCTTGTTAGTCTTTCCTCCTGTGAATTGGATTGGATTGGATTGGACTGGATACCAATTTCTAAAGCATGTTTTAAAAATACATGTATGTTATTGCAATCCCAGTTTCCTCATATCATCTAGCTCGAATTCAGTGTACTTGTCAGGTGTTTTAAAGATATTTAATGTGAATTGAGTAGAAACTACTAAGTTTTGATGGAACAGTGTGATAGATTAACTATATATGGTAAGGCCAATTTTGGGGAGCAGTCATATCAAAGGTGGTAAATACTTGGCATGTCTGTTACTAGATTCACATCTACATGTCTGAACTTCTCTTCTATTTAAATTTTATTAAATGTTAAAGTTCTCTAGTCCTAGGCCCTCTTTTGCTTATTCATTCTTTGGCTTTAAATGCCATTCATATGCTAATTAGTTAAATTTATATCTTAAGACTTCCCTTTTGAGTTCCAGGATACTCTGACATGCTATCCATTTAAAATCTCCCCTGGAGTAACTCAGACCTTTTAAACTTACATGTCCAAAATGGAAATCATTCTTGTCTCTATATCCTTTTTGCCATTTAGTCTTTTTTTTATGTCCTAGTAAGTGCTATGACCATCCACCAATTTTTCCAAATCCTGAGTCTTTCTAGAGGATTATAAGGCCTGTGTGATAACATTTGTTTATTCTTTAGCCTCCATGCTGTGCAATGTCAGAGAAAACAAGAAATGGGCAGTAAATTGTGGTAAAAATGGATGTTATTCAGGAACTATCGGAATAGAGGAAGAAAGGCTTTCATATAAAACTGGACTCAATCCTGAATAACACAAATAGGGATTTGTATCCCAGGGGCAGAATGGGAATAAGTGGATGGAAAGTTACTAAGAGATGTAGAGTAGTATGGGCAGGAGACTGTTTTTAAAAGGACTTAATAGGATTCTTGCTAAAGGTAGATCAGGATGGTGAAATATCAAGAGCAGGGATGAAGAATTTGATCAGCTATGAAGGGTGGGAGAGTTCTGGCTAAATATATGTGACAGGATTCTTGCTAAAACTGTGTGATACAGTAATGAATAAACATGGAAGGCCAAAGGTTGAGGCCTAATTTGGTAGAGGGTTCAGAGGAGCCTTCCAAAATTTGGTCAAGGATAATATCTTTGTCAGTAGTTGTTACATTCCAGCCACATTGGCTTTCTTCCCCAAAAGGCCTCTTTCCTCTCCAGTTATAAAGCTATTGCATATGATTTTTTCCCTTTGCTCAGATTGATTATTGTTAGTCTCTTAGCTAAGTAGTATTTATTTTTTTATATCTCACTTAATGTCATTTCCTCAGAGAAGCCTCCCTGACCACCCAATCTTAAACTCTCTTTTAATTCCTTATTACTGTTGGCTGTACATAGTTTTTTTTTAATCATTGGATTTATCATGTCTTAAAGTAATAATTCATTTGTTGTGTTTACTTAATTGACATCTTTTTTCTCAAATAAATTATAAATTACTTTAGGACAGGGACCTTATCTGTATGTATCATCATTTTATATTTAGTGGTTAACACTGTACATGGTATGTAACAGGCATTAAATCGGAGAATCAGTTATAATGCAACAGGAAACCCTGCCCTCTTGATGGCTGTGGTGCACGTGCTACTGCAGATTCTTGAGAAATAAACTGACACCTAAGGACTATGAATGAAGATCTGCCCTGTTACATGAGGTTATTGTTAAAAATAAGTAGGATTGTAATGAGCAAATGTGTTTCACTAAGGATTCCTCTTTTAGTCAATACTTCATTTCTTTGTGCTTGAATCTGATTAAGGATAATTATAAGGCCCTGCATTCAGCAATTCACTTTTTCTTTTCTCATGATAGTCCTTATCAGTTTTCTTTTGTCAGTAATTTTGTCAATGGTCACTATACTCCAAGTTTTCCCAAATTTGAATTTTCGGAAAAGACATTTTTGTTTAGATGAAAGTTCTTGTCTTTAAATGGGTCTTTTGCATAGATTGTACAACACAGTATTTGACTGAAGTAATTGCTTTTTAATTGCTTCTACATTCTTTCTATTACTGCCTTTTCTTCATTTAAAGATTCATGGTTTCAGTGATTTTGTATCTTTCAGGCCTCCATAAGTGACAGCTGATACTATCTTCTAGAATTTGTGGGTCTTAAAATAAGAAGTATGTGGAAATGGCTATTTACTTTGAAATATTTAGAGCTCTCACAAGGACCTGTAGAGGAATTATTGGGTCATATAATTAGCCCCTGAATAGCCAGACCATTTTATGACGCAAATTCAGATACCAAAGTAGTTTTCTAAGATTAACTAATTGCTTTATCTAGTAAATACAAAACTTACTCAAAATTCTTTCCAATGTGTTTTTCCTCATTTTAAAAAGAAACTTTGGAAAAACATTTTTGTGTGTGTGTGTGTAAATTTTCTTCTTACAAACTACATTTTTAGATTTGAACATTTTTAGCCAGAGATATAATTAGATGGAAGAAATTAAATAAACAAGTATAATTTTTAAGAAGTTAGGGGCTAAAGCTAATCTTGAAAGGAGCAATTCCTTGAAATTTGGCACCGTAAAGTATCTTGAGACATTTCTAAAAATAATTGGAACATATATTAGTGCCTATGAGATATGAATTCATCACAGGCTAATAGTTATCAGAGACCTACACAATTTACAAAAGTAGATTCACATAAAATATTTCTTTAAGGAAAAATAAAGACCACCTTCTGTGAACATATGCTAAAAAATGGCCCAGATACATTAGCAATCCAGTAAAAAGAAATAAATTACTCTTTTACTTTGAAAAGTTAAGTATCTTCTTAAATTTATTGTTATTTAGCCCCCTCCAATATTCTCAAGAAGTGATTTTTATAAATTTAGATATCATAGGCATTAATGGATGAAGGTTACTACTAGGTGAAAATGGAATCAGTTCTAAATTCTTAGTTTCATAGGTTTTTATTTCTACTCATTTATCAAATGTCTGCAATGACCTTAAAAAGACTGGAGAGATGGTAAATATTTTCAAAGATAAGTCAGTAGTTTAACCAATTCTACTCACATACAGAGGATTCCTATATAGTGGTAATTTATTAGAGAAATGTAAGGTACTCAAAAACAGAAAATATAAAGTGATACATCCTACAAATACTGGGTGGCTGTGTGTTTTAAGTATATAAAAAAGTGTTCAGCTGAAATGGTTAGGGTTTATTTTACAGTATAATTGATTGTTCAGTAAGGCTTTAAAGGAAAGGCAGAATTTAAATAGGTTAGATCATAATTATTGCAGTTGCTTGGTTTTTCTCCCTTGAAGTAAAAAACTTAATTCTAAAATTAGTGTACATCTTTTCATTCTGTTTTATACTTTTAATATAGATGTATGAATCCACAAAAACTTTTTTCTTTATGTTTTGTCTTTTAAAAATTGACATAAATACTAATGTACCAGATGTATCTTTTTGTTTTTCTTAATTCACCATTAGTGTCATTGTGGAGATGTGAACTTGATAGGTAGCTTTGTCTTATTTATTTTAATGAGGTTGTGGAATATCACCATTTTATAACATTTCATTATTATGTTTTCACATGTGTATGTGTATCCAGTGTATCATACCTAGTTTATGTAACAGCACTGTGTCAGGAAATTTACATTATGCCTTTGAGAAATATACATAAATTTGTTTTTAATTTTTTTTTTTTAGGAAATCCTTGCACGAGGAATTCTTCTTCCATTAATAAATCAACTCAGTGATCCTGATTATATTAATCAGTATGTCATATGGATGGTAAGTACCTTTTAAAATTGCTGCTCTGTTTTGGAAACAAGTTTTTAAATGTAAAGTACTATTTGGAGATGAGGGTGATTAAGAAATAATTTATTGAAGGAATTAAAAATGTTTCTAAAGTAATTTCTGTATTTGTTATCTTATATTTTTTGCTAAATGTGTTGGTCATTTTCTTTTTAAGAAGCTTATTGATTATTTTGCTTGATACTATGGTGTTGCTATTGCTTATTTAAAAATGGAATCTTTTAAACTGCCTATGTATACAAATAATGAGTATTTTTAACAGCTACTTCAGGTGGAGCATCCCTTGTCTAAAATGCTTGGGACTGAAAATGCTTCAGAGTTTAGAATATTTTGGTATTTATAATAAAATATCTTGGGAATAGGACCCAAGTCTAAACATGAAATTCATTTGTTTCACGTAAACGTTAAATGTAGTTTGAAGGTCATTTTATGCAATATTCTTAGCATGCCTGTGTTGTGAGTGTGAACTGTCACATGAAGTTAGATGTGAAATTTTCTACTTGTGGCATAATGTCAGTACTCAAAATGTTTTGGATTTTGAATTTTTGGATTAGGGATACTAAACGTATATTTGGTTTTAAATACAACTCAATGTCTGAACTACTTAAATAGTGTGTGTTTCACATTTTATACCATATAATGGGAAATATGAATGATAGAACACTAGAATGAGAATCAGAATATTTGTATTTTAGGTCTGTTTTCCTAAGTTGCTTCACGTGCTTGTAAGAGGATAACTCAAGATTTTTCTGCTCTTTCAAGCATACCAAATAGGAATTATTCTGTTTATGAGTTCAATTTTTTTTCTTTTCTGATTATATTTTCTGTTCCTCAGTAACGTCACAGCAAGGAAGAGTTGTAAATGGGCTACCTGCTGGGAATTCCTTTGGTATATACTTTTAGATCTTTGATTCATTACTTGAACCCAGGATTTCTTCTCTACATTCATCTCCTTTTAACCCCATCTACTATTCTTAGGAAAGAATCACTGATTATTCTTTGATTTCCTTTGACATTGTCAAACTTGCCAGCCATTGCTTTATTATTGTTGTTGCCACCACATTTGTCTCTCTCACCAGACTATGGGTTACCTGCAAAGAAAAGAAAAATTTTATTTTGTATTCCTAGCATTTTTTTTTTCTGGAAGTGATAAAAGTTGATTTTCTTTTTAGTTGTCAACTATTTATTATTAGGTTCTACCAGAAGCTTTAAATATGTGCATTTCTATATAGTTAAAATTTTAAGATGTATTTCCTTTGATATTCTACCTAAGAGCTTATTCCAAAGTGAAAGTTAAGTCTGCAGGAATTTATATTCAAAGCCATTCATAGCAATGTTGTATATAGTCATAAAAATTTGGAAGCAACTTAAATATCCCAAACAGGGGATTAAATTAATAAATTATTTCATATCAATATAATCAAGTATTGTGCAGCCATTAAAATGATAGAATTCGGCCTTTGTGAACATGAAAAATACTAATGATATCTTTTATGTGAAACAGTTAACTGAAGATGATCTCTCTTGCTGAGCATATATTAACTCTGTAGTTCATTATATTTCAAAAACATTTTGTGAAGGTTTTAGTACATACTCCAAAAATATTTCAAATTACTACATTTTTACTTGTTCTATGATTGGCCTATGTATGATATGTACTGTTGTATGATACTTTGGATTTTATGTGATTTAATAGACAAGGGAACACAGTCACTGTTGTACTTTTCAGTAGATTATCAGAAAATATATTTAAAAGAATTTATCAAGAAGGGATCTTTAGCCTCCTTTCTTGTCTTTTTTACACTCTTGACATTTATGTGAAAAGCTTTTTAGGCATAGGTATTATAAATATAAATGTTAACTGAGCTCTTATTTATTCAACTGCATTTTGATGTTAATGTGATCTAATTGAATAGTTCATTTTTATTTGAAAGTAACATCTTAGAACTATATTAACATTATCTTATGTATGTAAAGTACTAGAGTCAGAGAAAATGGTTGGGAATGATTTTAAAGTAATTTTTAAAAACAATATGGCCAGATTTGCATTATTTTTATCTTAATATATGTATATTTTATAAAGACAAAAAAGTTAGGTTTTGTCTCTGTCTGGAAGTGATCAAACTTAATTTGCTAATATTGATAACTGTAACTAGACAAGAAAAATGAAAGACACTTGTATTTTAAATGTATTCAAGTTTAATGTTCTTTTATTTTATTCTTCAAATATTCCTTTTATTTTATCAATGAAGTAAAAGTTGTATAAAGTGAAATGTTTGGATCTTAATCTACATGTTAATGAATTTTGATAAATATATACAGTCATGTAGGTATCATGAATCATAAAACAAATTTTCCATAATCCCCAAAAGTTCTTTTTTTCTGACGTCTAGCAAGTCCATCCCCTCTTTCCCCCAGACATAACCCCTCCATTCTCCATCACCATTAATTAGTTACGCCTGTTCGTGAAGTTTATATAAATGGAATCATGAAGTCTCGACTCCTTCGTATCTGGCTTCTTATGCTTAACACACTATTATTTTGAAACTTTCCTTGCATTCATTTTTTTTTAAGTTCACAAGAGTATTCCATTTTATGAATATACTGTAAATTTCCTTTTGAGTAAATCATTAGGAGTGGAGTTACGGGAATATAGGGATTATGTTTAACTTTATAAGAAATTGCCAATGGGATTGATATCAGCAGGATGATAGAATAGGAAACCCCAGATCTTATTTCTCCACAAAAGTACCACTTAACAAAATAAAAGGGTCCATACAACCTTTCTGAGAACTACAGAAACCAATTAGGAAGTCTAAATACCCCAGGTGAGCTTGAAGCTAAGAGTAGCTGCACTGAAACAAGTAAGTAAGGCTATTTCATTTCAGCTATGTCAGCTCATCCCCAAACATGGCATAGTTAGTGATCAGAAAGAAAAACCCAACTTGCAGCTTTTCCACTGGGAGGGAAAGGAAAGAATGGAACATATGACCAATATTCTGGCCTTTCAGGGGCTTTTCAAAGAATGTGTTTCTTTCTCTCCTGACTTGGAGTGCTGTTGGGGAGCTAGTATATTTTGATGCCTATGGTCATAGAGAACAGAAGATAGTTTAATAACTTGTGATAGGGCCAGAGGACTTGCAGGATAGCAGACAGTGACAGAACTCATGTAATTATTAAGTGCCAGGCTCCTGAGACTTCTGTGAGAAGGAAAGAAAAGACTACAACATGTGTCTCAGTACTCTGGATTTTTCAGGGTAATTCCTGAGGTGCTGATATCTTTCTCATTTTAATTGGAGCACTGTTGAAACTAGCATATCTTGGATGCCTGGGGGCTGCCAAGGACACAGGAAGGCTTATCAGGTTGTTGCAGCATGAGAGAATTTTTACTGAAGTAAACAAGGCACTAGAAGGAGCAAAGATTATAAACTCCTGGAAAAGAAACTGAGAAATTAAGTGGGAAATTACATTTAGAAGCTCAGAAGTTTGAGAGGTTCCCAGAATCTTAGCTGGGCTGATTAATGAAGTTCTTCCTCTGTGTGAAGACAGTCTGTAAAATCTAGATGGAGGTATCTTGTTTTTTAAATATAAAAATCAAAACAAAAAGTAAGGAACACATAAAGAAACAGGGAAACACGGATAAAATAAAATAGCCAAATAAATATCCAGGACTTGAACCCTAAAGAAACAAGAGATCTAAGCATCACCTAACAAAGATTAGAAATATCATCTTAAAGAAACTGGTGTTGCTATGATACAGCATAGATATACAATAACAAATTGAAAAGTGATGAATAAATAAAAATGAGACTACCAACAAAGAAATATAAACAATAAATAACAAAAATAGTAGAGCTGAAAAAATACAATGATTAAATGAAAAAATTCACTAGGAGAGGTCAACAACAAACTTGATTAAGTAGAATGAATCCATGAACTTGAAGACACATTATGTGAAATTATGGAATCAGCAAAAAACAAAAATGGAAAAGAATGAAGAAAAAAATGCAAAGCTTAAGGGACTTACAGACACTGTAAAGTAAATCAATTATGTATGTTGGGATTTTCAGAATAAGTTAGAGGAGAATGAACAGAGATTATTTGAAGAAAGAATTGGCAAAAACATCCCAAATTTGAGTAAGGAAATAGACTTTCAAATTCAAATTTAGGTTGAACCTACAGAGAGTCACCCACATAGAGAAGAATTAAATAAAATTGAATTGTCAGAAGGTCAAAGACAAAGGGACTAGCATATCAGAAAGCACTCATAAGATTATCAGCATTTTTTTTTCCAGCCCTGTAGCTAAATACTATAGTTCTCCTTCATTTTTGAAGGACAGGTAAACAAAAGCTGAGGGAGTTCATCGCTACTAGACTTTCCTTATAAGAATTACTGAAAGGAGTCCATCAGATTGAAATGAAAGAATGCCAGAGAACAGAAAGAAAGCATACAAAAATACAAAGCTCTTTTGTAAATCAAATATATAGAAATGCATTATTCTGTTATGTTGTAGTGGTAGTGTGCCTACATTGCTTTAATACAGTTACAGAATTAAAAAATAAAAGCATACAACTATAACTCTCAAACTATATCAATAGATATAAAATCTGAAAAGATCTAATTTGTGAGATCAATGAATAGACATGTAAAGTTAGTGAAAGTTTTGTATATTATTGAAATTGTTATCAATTTAGAATAGATTGTTAAAATTATAAGATATTGCAACTAGGAAGCCACCAGGAAGTGGAAAACTGAAAAATTCATAAATATGTGGAAATAAGACTGCACACTGTTAAAAAAGCAATGGGTCAAAAAGCAGAACAGAGATAAATAATTTGATACAACAGAGAATTTAAATATAACTTTTTATTAAGATACAGGAAAAACAAGTTCAGTTTTTCCTCCTATACTTCTATAACACAGAATGGTAATGAACCAAGCAGTCATTTCTTCAGAGATCACCAGCTGGGTATGCACTAATTCATTTAAATTCTGACACTATCTGCCTGGAAATAGCATCAGATCCCACAGGTTGAGGGCTCAATAAAACAACACCCTATCCTCCTTGAAATGCCAGTCTCAAGTCTGGGTTTTGGAACTTTTGGCTAACTGGTATAAATTGGGGTTTCTGTGATCACCTTTCTGGGTCAGTTAGTTTGCTAGAGAAACTTGTACAATTCAGGGAAATACTTGTTTTCACCCACTTATTATAAAGGATATTACAATGATAACATGAAAATTTAGATGGAAGAGATACATAGAGTAAGGTTTGGGAGAAAAGATGCAGAGCTTCCATGCTTTATCTGGGCACACCACCCTCCAGGAACCTATACATGTTCAGGTATTTGGAGTTTAGTCCTTTTGGGTTTTTCTTAAATATGTTTGGTTAAATTATTAACCATTAATTTATCAGCTCAGTCTTTAGACCCTTTTTCCTCCCTAGAACTAGAGGAAAACTAGTGAGACTGAGCGTTCATCCCGAGGCTGTATAGGAGACAAGACACTATTATCACTCCTGAGATTCCAAGGAATATTAGTTGCATGTCAGGAAACTGGAATAAAGACCAAATACATATTTCACAATATCAGAGTTTACAAAACTATGGGATTCTGCAAAAGAAGTACCAAAATGAGGAAAGACTTGTACACTGCAAACCACAAACAGTGTTGAAAGAAATCAAAGATGACACAAATAAATGAAAACTCATCTCTTGTTCATGTTTTGGAAGATCTATTGTAAAGATGTCAATACTATCCAAAGCAATCTATAGATTCTGAGTAATTTCTATCAAAATTCCAATATTTTTGGCTGAAATAAGGAAAACAATCCTAAAGTCTATATGGTATCTCAGAGTAACTTGAATAGCCAAAACAATCATGAGGACAAAATTTCAGGAAACCTCATCCTTCTTTATTTCAAAACTTATGCTACAGTAATTAAATAGTGTGTTATTGGCATAAAAACAAACACGTAGTCCCATTGGAACAGGATGCAGAACCCAGAAATAAACTCTCACATATATGATAAAGTAATCTTCCATGTGGTGTTAAAGACTACCCAGTGGGAAAGAATAATCTCTTCAAAAAATGGTGCTGGGAAAAATGGGGTCCTTTCGTCAACAGTTTCATTTTAGTACTTGTATAAATGTTTAATTGGAAAAAAAAACTTTGTAATTATCATCTTGTATCCATCATTTCTAATGAGAAGTTAACTTCTGTATCATTGATCCCTGTATGTAATGTATATTTTTTCATAGTTCTGTAATTTTAGTCTCCATTTCTTCTTTTTTTTTTTTAGAATAGTCAGTATCCTAAGTGTGCTATCTTTTCCCACTTTCCCTGTTTTGCTTAGTTTAAATTTTATCTACACTTACAGTGATTTGTTATTAGGTGATGTTATAGCCCTGGTTAAATTTAACATGTGGTTATGAGTGGGGAGATCTACACTGACTTCATTTTAAATTCATTAGCACTAATATGAATTGTTCCCTTATTCTTGCCTTGCAATCATAATTTCCTAACTGTTTTCTCTCACTCTCCTGAATAGCTCTTTGTACATCCTCTACTTTCATGTACCCACCTTTCACATGCTCACTCTTTCACTCATGCTGTTATTACTTAATGGAAAAATGGAAGTAATCAAAAGAGAACTTTCATAATGTCCTATTCTCCAAAGTGCTCATTCCTTACTTCTGTGTACATGTACTCTTCATTTTCTCCTATGGTTGTTGGTGATATATCCAAGCATCCTAGATAAGACAACTCTTTTTGTTTTTGATACTGGGGAGTACTTTCACCACCATAGGTGTTTTACCACTGAGCTGCATCCCCATCCCTTTTTAATATTTTATTTTGAGACAGGGTCTCCTTAAGTTGCTTAGGGTCTTGCTCAGTTGCTGAAGCTTGCCTTGAACTTATAATACTCCTGTCTCAGCCTCTGGAGTCACTGGGATTACAGGCATGTGCCACTGTGTCTGGCATCTCCATTCTTGTGCACTGTACCTGTCATCTTCTGGATAGTTCCAATTTTATTGCTTTGTCAATTTCCCACTCTTCTGCTTCATCAAATTTTCACACTCTGTTGGCTGTCCATATTTTCTTCTCTCTCTTTCTTCTTTTCTCTTTTTTTCCCCCCACGGTATTGAGGACTAAGCTCAGGGACACTTAAACACTGAGCAACATCCCGAGTCCTTTTTATGTTTTATTTCGGAACAGGGTTTCCCTAAGTTGCTTAACGTCTGGCTTTGAACTCCTGGTCCTCCTGCCTCAGCCCCCTGAGTTGCTGGGATTACAACATGGGTCACTGTATCCTGTTCTTCTTCTTTCTTGAACCGTACCAATAAAGTTCTCTAGGTCAAGGAGGATGATATCCATTGTTAAACTTAATGGTCAAGTTAATCAATTCTTAGATTCCCCCTTTTATTGACTTTATTCTCCTGACATTTGACATTCTCATTTTCCTTATTATACCCTTATATCCCTAGTTTTAAACTCTATTTCAACAAAATCGACAAAGGTGCATTAAAATAAACTAGAATTCATTTTGGGGGCTTATATATCTTATTATATTAACTAATAATTATATCATTATTACATAATTATATACTATATTTAAGTTTTTATAGGTGTTTCACATCTAGGATGATGGGACAAAATAAGTTTAGAACATTTCTCCCTCTCACCCCCAAACAATAATGAGGATTGAACCCAGGAGTAATTTCACCACCAAGCCCTTTTTGTTTTTTATCTTGAGATAGGTTCTCACTGAGTTGCCCAGGCTGGCCTCAAACTTGTGATCCTCCTGCCTCGGTGGGACTACAGGCGTACACCACTATGCCTAGCTAAAACACTGCTTTACTTGGCTTGTTAAGACAAAATATATTCTTGGTTTTTGGCCTTCCTCAGTCTTTTTTGCTGTGTAAGTGTGCTAAGTAGGTTTCTGTTCTGGAACTTCTCTTTTTTCAATCCTCATGTATTTTCTTGATGATTCCTGTCCAGTTGTATGGTTTTAAATATCATATATAGGTCAATGACTTGGAAACACATGTTTCCAATTCTCCTTGAACATTTAACCTTTCATATTCAAAAGCATCCTTAATATCTACATTTTGTTGTTTAATGGCAAAGACTGAGCTCCTGATATTCTGCCTTCCTTCCAAAACCTTCCGTTTTTTTTATGTTTTCTTCATCTTGTTTAATGTTGTTAAACATTATTCAGACCATAATTCTTGATATAATTCTTAGTTCTGTTATTTCACACTTAAATCATATATTTTTGTCAGCCAGTCTTTCTATACTGTCTGAGTAAAGCATTTCCCAACACAAAACGTGTAACAAAGAACATTTAAAATATACTTTTCTCATACCCTCACTTTTGCTAGGAACTATTATCATGTTTTATCTGTATTATTAACTGATTTCTCTTCTGTTCTTGATTCTTCCTACATTTTTTATGTAATGATTGTTATATTTCATGCCATAGAATATTACTCCTCTGTTTAAAACTTCTAGTAACATTTGATTTCCTTCAGATTAAAAGCCAAAACCTTTATTAAACCTCAAGATTTGTCCCCCATTACTACTGTATCCCCTTCTACTCTTCAGCCCTTCTTTGGTTTAGCTCTAGTGACCATGGCTTCTTTGCTATCATTAAAAACTCTGAATCTTCCTTTGTACTTGCTAGCATGTTGTATATTTTACTTATTCTGTTTTGTTTACAGTCTGACCCATTAGAACATAAGTGCCATGGATATAAGGTTTTTTGTTTGTTGTTTCCTTTTGTTATAAGCACTGGGTATATAGCATCTGGTGCCTGGTATATAGTAGGCACTCAAATTCAATTTATTACTTAATAAATGAAGCCCCTTCCCAACTGTTTTTAAAAAACTTTATTTTCAGATCCGTGATTCTAATTGCAACTATGAGGCCTTTATGAACATTATTAAATTGAGTGACAATATTGGAGAATTGGAAGCAGTTAGAGATAAGGCAGCAGAAGAATTACAGTATCTTAGATCTTTAGATACAGCTGGTGATGGTAAGTCATTTAAGTAAAAGAATGCTTTCTTTAAGTATTGTTATGTCTTTAAATAAAACTTTACTTATCTAACTGCCACTTAATGCTACTAGCTATTTTCACCTTAACTAAATAAATTTTATTATGTTAACATTTGCTTAGAGCAGAAGCATAATTTTTTGAATATGTGACTTGTGATTATTTCAGTTATGCCTACAGTATGGATAATAGGCATGGTTGAATTTTAATGAAGTAATTTCACTGTACATAATTTTAGATTTTTTATTTTACTAGATAAAAATTTGTTGTATTAATTGGTTATCTTGTTAAATTAGTACATATTTAAAATATTTTGTAAACACCATTTGCCTAGCTCATAATAAATTTGTTTCCTTTTAGATATCAATACCATCAAAAATCAAATAAATAGCTTATTATTTGTAAAGAAAGTATGTGACTCAAGAATACAGCGGTTGCAGTCAGGCAAAGTAAGTATAAAGTACTTTAAAATATTTTTTAATAGTTTTTTAGTTGTCAATGGGCTTTTATTTTATTTCTTTATATATAGTACTGAGAATTGAACCCAGGGCCTCACAAATGCTAGGCAAGCACTCTGCCACTGAGCAACAACCCCAGCCCTATTAAGTACTTTTGAATTAATGTTTAGTTATAAATGTTTTCTAGTGATTAAAATGCTAATAAGTGACAAAAGGTCAGATTTTATTTATTTCTTTTAGTTATTCATGACAGTAGAATGTATTTTGGCAAACTATACATACAAAGAGCATAACTTATTCTAATTAGGATCCTATTCTTGTGGTAATATATGATGCAAAGTTGTCCTGGTTGTGTATTCAAATATAAGGCTAGGAAAATTATGTTCAATTAATTTTTCCTGTCTTTTCTATTCCCCTCTCTGCTCCTTTCCCTTTGTCTAATCCAGTGGACTTCTCTTCTTCCTCTTTCTACCCTCCCTTGTTGTGGGTTAGCATCCATATTTAAGAGAGACCACTCAGCCTTAGGTTTCTGGGGGAGTGGCTTATTTCATTTAGCATATTCTTTTTTTTTATTAGTTGCTCAAAACATTATAAAGTTCTTGACATATCATATTTCATACATTTGATTCAAGTGGATTGTGAACTCCCATTTTTACCCTATATACATAATGCATATTCACATCGGTTACACATCCACTTTTTTACCTACTGCCATACTAGTGTATGTTGTATTCTGCTGCCTTTCCTAACCTCTACTATCCCCCCTCCCCTTCCCCCCTCCCATCCCCTCCCTTCCTGTCTTCTCTCCCTACCCCATCTACAGTAATTCATTTCTCTCTCTCGTTTTTTTTTTTTTTTCATTTAGCATATTCTTAAGAGAGAATATTCAGCCTTTGGTTTTTTGGAGATTGGTTTATTTCATTTAGCATATTCTTCAGTTCAATCCATTTATTGGCAAATACCATAATTTTATTCCTTTTTAAGGCTGAATAATATTCTATTGTGTGTATATATCACATTTTCTTTATCCATTCATCTGTTGAAGGGCATCTAGGTAAGTTCCATAGCTTGGCTATTGTACTTGAGCTGCTGTAAACATTGGTATAGCTGTGTCACTTTGTATGTTGATTTTAAGGTCTTTGGGTATAGATTGAGGAGTTGGATAACTGGGTCAAATGGTAGTACCATTCCAAGTTTTCTGAGGAATCTTTATACTATTTTCCATAGTAGTTGCACCTCTTTGCAGCTCCACCAACAGTGTATGAGAGTGAAAAGGGTCGGATATTAACCAATGCAACATTCTACAGCAGGGATTTCACAACAGTTTTCTCTTGTATACTATAATATGATAAGTATTTATTAAAGCAAATCAAAGAGATTAGTTAAAATACCACTTGAACTTTCTCCCCCATACTGCTGCTGGGCCTCCATAGCTCTGTTAAGCTATGGACACCAATCTTGGTTCCACAGCGTAGGTTTTGCTATAGCTGTCAAGAATAAGCTTTAAAGTTAAGATATGGCAAATGAAATTTAGAAGAAGAGAGGGTAAAACTTGATTACTCAAGCTCAGTAACAATTGGTGATCCAGGAGAAGTATATGCTCAAATACAGGATGATAGTTGTCATTTGCCAGATTGCTTATGTCACTATGGAAGGGGATACGATAGTCTGTGCAGCATATATATTTGAACTATCAAAATATGGTGTGAGGGGCTGGGATTGTGGCTCAGCTGTAGCGTGCTCCCCTATCGCGCGCACGGGACCCGGGTTCGATTCTCAGCACCACATAAAAATAATGTGTCCATCTACCAAAAAAAACAAAAATCTATCTATCTCTCTCTCTCTCTCTCTCTCTCTCTCTCTCTCTCTCTCTCTCTCTTTAAAAAAAAGAAAAATATGGTGTGAAAGTAGGCCTAACCAATTATGCTGTAGAGTATTATACTGACGTACAGCTGTCCCATAGACTTCTCAGTAGGTTGCCATGGGCAAGACCTATGGAGGCCAAGTGGAAGTAACTGGAGATTAATTGAATGTGGAAAGCATTGTGTACAGGAGATTCAAGATTACATTGTGGAAAATACTGATGGTCAGCTTATGCTGTCACCTGCTACTTGTTGCCAGAACCCCTACTGGCAGTAAAGCTCTCTAAAGAAAGCTGTGGATGGAGGTTTTTCTATTTCTTACAATCTCAAATGATTCCCTGGTTAAAATCTTGAAAGCAAGGCGTTTAATGCAGAAGTACCTTGGGAAGCATATCATGGATCAGGACAAAATATGTATCTTACCAAGTGGAAGAAAATGAAGATGCTTACAAGGAACAGTTCCCTCAGTACAATAAAGAACAGTGTGATTCTAGACATTATGGAAGATGGATAAGAAAGCTCATGGCTGCTTATGAGAGAAACCAGTCTTTGAGAAGAAGTACAAGAGAGAAGTTAAAAAGAGGTGAAACCATCCCCCAAAATCCCTTTCCCAGAAGAAAGATTGGATAGTTTAAAAGAAGGTTGATTCTCAGATCTTAGGAACAGGCTGCTGAGAGCTAAATAAAACAACGGTTTTCTATGAAGATTCTTTGGGTAATGACAATAAACTTGTTGACCAAACAAATTTAAATTTAAAAAACATAGCTTGAAACATGCAAAGGATTAAAAGTTATTATTTTATTCCTTGATTTTTTATTTACTTATTTATTCAAAATTCAGCATTTAGTGAATTTTGTGAATCAAGCACTATTTTAGGTGAACCAAATAAAAGTAACTTTTTGTGGAGCTACCTTTTCATTGCATAGTCAGAAAATGAAATAAGCAAATAGATATATAACAGCATGATGATATCTGCAATGAAAAAAAATGTAGCAGTGTAGAATATATAAAATGAGCATTTTAGATAGATGCTGAGAGATTGGGTGATATTTGAGCACAGACAAATCTGAATAACATGAGAGAGTTCATACTGTATTTTTTGTGTGCTTAATTTTGATCTTCCTAGCAAAAGTGAAAGCAAGTGCAAGGGCCCTGAGACAGAAATGTCTTTAGTGAGTTATATGTGGTCGTCATGGTTAGGTGAATGAATAAGGATTATGTGAGGAATGAATTTATGGAACCTGAGGGCTAGATTTTATATGCATATGTTTTACTGGCAATAGTTAAGATTTTTATTTTATTCTAATTGTGGTGGAAATCAGTCACTACATGTTCTAATTTATGAGTTAAAATGAATTCTCTGACTTTTTAAGAAGAATAACCTGTAGTGGAATTTGTAAGATTACTGCTTCAGACCAAGAGAGAAATGTCTGTGGAGGTTATGAGATGTGCTTAGACTGGGTGTGGTGCTCACAGGATTCGCTAATGGACTAAATATGGGGTAAGAAAGGAAAAAAAAAAAGGCCTCAAGGATAATTCCAAGATTTTTCCTCTGAGCAACTTCATGAATAATATATGCTATTTGCTGAGATGTAAAATTGAAGGGAAAGTTTTGCAAGGAGAACCAAGTTCTGGATATTTTAATTTGATATCCTTTTAGAGATCAGTTACACATGCTAATGGTTAATCTTGAGTTCAAGGGAAAGTTTAGTGATGGAGGTGACTTTATGAGTCCTCAGAATTTATCAAAATTTGATTGAATCTTAAGAGACTGGATAAGATTATCTAAAAGTGAAACTAAGAGCATACCGATGACTTAGTCCTAAGTTAATTCAGTGAATAAAGTTGAAGAAGAATTAAGGGATCCAGACAAGGAAACAAAGAATAAATGGCCAGAAAGATTGAAGGACATACTGAGAGTGTGATATCTATAAAAGGATAGGTCAGGTGTGTCAAATTATGATAACATTGAGTAAAATAAAGACTGAGAATTTGCCATTTAGGTTTACCACCATGGAAATTACTAGTGATCTGATGAGAGCAGTTTTTGTGAAGTAGTGAAAAAGCCTGATTGGAGTCTGTCGGGAAAAATGGAAGAAAAGAATTAAAAACAATGTTTGTAGATAGCTCTTCAGAGGAATTTTACTAGAGATTTGGAGGTTTAAGCAGAGAAAATATATATTTTTTTAGTTTCTTTAATTTTTAGTATCACCATTTGGCTCTGGTTTTCTATTTTGGAAATTGGTTTTTGACTTGCTATTCTTAGAATTGGGTAATATATTTAAATTCCATACAGAATGGAAGAATTTTTTTTTTAAATCTTGTTCAGTTTGCTAGATGAATTTAACTTTCTGAAACATTACTAATAAAAAGATAAAGCTTGAGTCACATTGTCACTTGTGTGTATTGTTAACTATATTTTTAAACTACTATATATATGTAAATTAGAAGAATAATGTGGTTTAAATAGTTACCTTATCCAGACCTTAGAGTTAGTCATCTTTCAGCATCATTAGTTAAATTCTCTTTGCTCTAATGCATTTTGATATTGAATCCTCTTAAAATTTAGATACTTTGTTTGGAAGCTTGTAAAAGTCAATTCTATATTGAATATCAACCTTTGTATTTTATTGGCTCAATTCATCTAATATTTTCCTTTTGAAAGTAATCTCAGAATCTCAAGTTTTATAACCATTTTACTTAGAATTTGACTTAGAATATTAAGAATAAAGTTATGCTATATACTCTTACCTATGCCCTGTGTGCACCATTGTTGCTATCGCTCTCGGCTATTCATTTCAATTCTGTTGTCTGTTATTCAACAACTCTGTGAAATGAAATACTGATAACAGAGATAGATAGATTTGTATTGCTGTTGCTTTGTTTTTTCTCTTTTCAAATTCTCTTTCTTCTTGTACTATTTATGCTAATTTAGTATCTGCAATGAATAGAGCAACCTATCAAATCTTTTCTTTAAAAATACCAGGGATAATAAGATGTGAATTTGGTGGTAGAAGCCAGTTAAGACAGTTTGCAGCAATGGTATGAATTTTAGAGGAAATGCTGCAGAATTGAAAACACAGATTCATATTTATCAGCTTTGTCACCATAGACAACCTTCCTAATCTTCATGTTTTTAAATCTGTTCAATGAGACTGGGGACACATACCCAATAAGATTGCTGTGTACCTTAAATTAAGTAATGCGTGTAATGTCATCAGCATAGTGTCTAGCATATAGATGCTGTTTAACTTTTGGATTCATGCCTCCTGCCCCTGTATGTAGGTAATTACTTCACTCTATGACTGTGGACAGGGTACTGAAAAGATATACATTTTTTTTCTAAAAACTATGAATTTTTTCACTGTTAGAATCAAATAGACTTTAATCAAAAATTGGAAATATTGGAGTTCATTCTTGAATATATAATCATTTCAAATATCCTCTTGCTTCTTTATCCCCTAAATTGTTCATTTTCATTTGAAGTATGTAGAGATAGAAAATACTTAAATACAATATTTTAGATTGTTTTTTATATTGGCTGAAATTAATCTTTAACATATTTTAATGAATGTTTGCTAGGTACCTCTTGAAACAACTAGGAATTTATGTTCACTAACCAGAGTATTTTATTGGGAATCAACATGAAAGAGAATGGAAAGATTTTATTTTTATTCCATTTACATTTAATGTTAGATTTTATTTCCTTTATTTTTCTAAAGATCTTTACCCTAATGAGTGATTTGATAAAATACTAACTTGTATTCACTTTTGTGTGTAGGAAATAAATACTGTGAAACTGGCAGCAAACTTTGGGAAACTTTGCACAGTCCCTCTGGACAGCATTCTTGTAGACAATGTTGCACTACAGTTTTTTATGGGTAGGTCAATTCATTTTATTTACATAATATAGCCATTGAATTTTTTATTGTGGCAAAATACACTTAACAGAATTTCATATCTTAATATTTTTAAGTGTACAGTTCAGTGATCTTAAATATAAAATTGATAATATACAGCCATCACCACCATCCATCTCTGGAGCTTTTTTTTATCTTGTAAAAACCAAAACTTTACCCATTAGAATGATTGACTTAATTTCCTGAAGGTTCATTCATGTTGTAACATGTGTCAGAATTTTCTTCCATTGTAAGGCTGAGTTATAATTCAGTGTGTGTGTGTGTGTGTGTGTGTGTGTGTGTGTGTCTGTATATACTACACATGCCCAGACACCACATTTTTACTTACCTATTCATCCATCAAGAGACTCTTGGATTGCTTTGTGTTTTATCTAAGGTGAATGATGTTGCTATGAATATGCACATACAAATAAACCTTTGAGATTCTACTTTCAGTTGTTCTGGTTATATACCAAAAGTGGGATTGCTAGATCATATAGTAATTTTATTATGATTTTTTAAGACCCACCATACTGTTTTAATTTTAAGTGTTATTAAATTTTGAATGGCTAGTATGCTGCATAACAACCCTTTATTTTCTGAACTCTTTTTCTTTAGAAACCATGGAGATAAGATATTTATTTTGTTTTGAAGGAAATAAATGCTTATTATAACTAATGAGTATTTGTTAAACTGCTTTTAAAATAAACCTAGGTGATTCTAGTATGAATTTAAATCCACTGAGAATACTTTATTGAGAATGCATAATATGCATATAAGCTATTTATATATAATTTTTATTTATATGTGGATGTGGTATTTTATTTTTATACTGTCTTAATATATAATAATGTTTTATTTATATATTTTGCTAATATATAAAATTGGTTTTATCTGAAGATTTTTTTAAAATCCCTATATCTTCAGTTTTGTGATCAAAAATATAAATATGTGGTTTGCTGAATTGCCAATCTTTATATGTAGAAAAATTCATACTATAACTAGTAATATTTATTCAGAACAAATTTTGAGTGTTGTTGAAGTAGTTTACTTCAGATGAAGTGGTAGAAATTATTATTATGTGGTAGAAATTATTCCCTAGCGATTTTATTATGAAAAATGAGATTTAAAAAATCTTTATAATATGTGCTTCCTCTAATGTTTTCTACATATCTGGTATTTAACTTATAATTTGTTTTTTCATCTTAAAGATTTGCAACACATTTTTAAATACTTGAAACTACAATCCTTTTTACTTACTTGTCATATAGCTATATGGACCCCAAATTGTTTGACGTTAATGTCTGTCTTATTAACGGATTTTGTTCCGGTAGATTACATGCAGCAAACTGGAGGTCAAGCACATCTTTTCTTCTGGATGACAGTGGAGGGCTACCGGGTTACAGCCCAACAACAGCTAGAGGTTTTATTAAGTCGTCAAAGAGATGGAAAACATCAAACGAACCAAACCAAAGGTCTTTTAAGAGCAGCTGCTGTTGGAATTTATGAACAATATTTGTCTGAAAAGGTACTGCATTTTGATAAATGTTTTTTTCTTTGACAGTATCATTAATAATAATTTTTGTCATATATGCACTACTTATGCCAGGTACAATTGCCTCAGAAATGTCTCATTTAATTCTTAGAAAAATCTTCCTGTGTATTTTTATTCTCATTGTTTAAGTGAAGAGTCTTTGTTTAGAAAAACAAATTAATATGCCCAAGGTCACACTAAATAACAAAGTCTAGATTGAAGGTCACACACCCTGAAGATTCAAATACACAGTAGGTCAAAACTTAAAGGACAGAGAAAGATAAAACATGCACAAATAAAAGAGAAATATAATGGCTATACTAATATCATACAAAATAGAATTGAAGATAAAAATTGTTATTAAAGAACATCACATAATGATAAAGGTGTCAATCAGAATGATAAAATAGTTACAAACATTTGTCAAAGTTCCCAAATATTTTAAACAAAAGTCGATAGAATTTAAGGGAGAAAGAGTAATACCATTAATAGAGACTTTAATACTGTGTTTTCAATAATTGGTAAAGAATTAGATGGAAATCATTAAGGATATATGAGATGTTGAAAACGTAAAGCAATTAGAACTAGCATATGTAGAACATTTTCCTTCATAGTAAAGTACATATTATTTTTAAGAGTACATGGAACTTTCTCAGGATAAAACATATGCTAGACAAATCTTACTTTAGAAGTATTGAAATCACAAAAAAAGTATGTCCTTTGATCAAATGAAATTAAATTAGAAGTCAACAGAAGAGAATGTGGAAAATTTATAAGTATTTAAAAATTAAGCAATATATTTCTAAATAAGGTCTGGGTCAACAAGGGATAATAAGAAAGCTATAATTTCAAAAATTTTTTTAGATCAGCACATAAAATGTGTATTTGTGTATGGCATGATGGCTTGAAAAATGAGAAAGTGATTTTAGTTGCAAATGAAAAAACATTGTGTGAAAATTGATGGGATGCAGTTAAAGTGGTACTCCAATGGAAATTTATAGGTTTGAAATGTCTGATCAGAAGGAAGAAAGATCTATCGTATAGTTAGATGGAAGAAATGGGTTCTGGTGTTTAGTTTCACAGTACGGTGACTAGAGATAATGAGTAGGTGACTAGAGATAATGAGTATGTGTTGAATATTTTAAGAAAGGTAGAAGAAGGGATTTTAATAATTTTTAACCACAAAGTAATATTTGAGGAGATACATATGTTTAGCATGGTTTGAGCATTACATAGTATATACATGTTTCTTCAAAACATGAAAACAATGAGAGTTTTCAACAATGAGATTTATGCCTGCAAGGTGGCTGTTATTCTTGACTTTCGTAGAAAAGGTGCTCACATGTTGTCCTGTAGTTCCCTGGGTTCGATTCTCAGCACCACATAAAAATAAATAAATAAAGATACTGTGTCCTACTAAAAAATAAATATACAAAAAAGAAAATTAAAAAAAAAAAGTATGGAGGCTGGGGATGTGGCTCAAGCGGTGGTAGCGCACTCGCCTGGCATGTATGCGGCCCTGGTTTGACCTCAGCGACACATACAAACAAAGATGTTGTGTCTGCCGAAAACTAAAAAATAAATATTAAAAAATTCTCTCTCTCTCTCTCTCTCTCTCTCTCTCTCTCTCTCTCTCAAAAAAAAAAAAATGTATGGAACAAGAAGAATGCCTTTTTCTAATTTGAAAATATTTTGAAACAGAGGATGATGAAAAGGATTACAGTTAACAAATTTATTTGCTATTTTTATAACTATAACTGGTAACCTTTGAAGAGACTGAAAACTGGTAGAGTTAAGTTGTTTGAGATTATATGTAGGCTATGATAGACACTCATATAGTGAATCAGATGACTCTTGTTTTGAAATAAGATAACTTGAGAATAAAAAAAATGTCATCAGAAAGGGACAGACAACTTGAACAATTTCTTTTCTGAAACTAGTTTATTTGGAACACTACTTCTGTTTCACAAGTTTAAATTATCTGTTTAAAACTTTTTTCTGAGAAAGAGAAGTTTATCATATGTGATGACATCATTGCACTTTAAACTACTTAAAAATGGGCAGTTTGGATGTAGATAGCCTGTATGATTTATTTATAGGTGCAAAGGATCTAACTGAAAAATGAGCCATGGGTGCAAAGTTTAGACCTATTTTTGAGAACTTGAAACAAATTCTGTTACATCTTAAAACCTATCATTTAAATAAAATCCCACTTATTCTAGGCCCAAGTGATTTTGTTGAAAGTATATGTCACCAAATAAGAGTGAGATAAAAAATGAGCTTGAGTTGGGTTTGAACAGAGACGAGATAAAAGTCAAAGTGAATTTTACATTAGGCTGCATTCAGCTGTAACACAACAAAAAAGAAAAAGATGTCCTAAGGGCTGCAGGCAATTCACAGAGGTATTACTAGAAACAGAAAAAATAAAAATAAACTACTAATTATGGAAAAGACAGACAATTTATTTTTTTGTTTTGCTAAATATAGTATTTTTGTATATATACATTCTGCTTTTATGTATGTACATTTTTCTGCCTTTCATTAATGTATTTCAAGAATATAAAATAATGTAGCCTATAGGATTTAAATATCTTAGTGTACATACATTCTGCTTTTGTAGTCTTATGTTTCTGAATTTTAATAATTAAAAATATAATAGTTTACTATGTAAAGTTAAAGCCAGTAATGAGTTTTTTGAAAGCCAAGTAGCTGTGTTGGAAGACACAGTCATAAACTACTATTACATTTTCTCCTGTAGATTTTAAAAAATTAGTTCTATTAATGTTAATTGCTACTATTAACTAGTCCTCTTATTTAAGTAATAATTTATATTATAGAAAAGAATATATGTTAATAGAACATTTTAGGGAAATAGTTTTTTCATACATTTATGTTAAAATAATACAGAGTTTGCATTTCTTCTCCAGTACCTTTTTTGGGAGGAGAAATCCTGATTGGTTATATCTCTAAAAATGTTGATTACAGACCAGCTTGGGTTTACTAACAGACACTTTGAATTTACAAGGGGCATTGTAGTTATCTTTTCATCGCTATGACCAAAATACCTAAAAAGGACAATTTAAGAGGAGGAAAAGCCCATGGTTTCAGAGTTCAGTCCATGCTGGACCCAAGGTGAGGCAGAACATCATGGTGGAAGAGTGTGTGGTGGAGGAGCAGTGCTCTGTGCATAATGGCCAGTAAGGATGGAGGGAGGGGGGAGGAGGTGGGGGGAGGGAGGGAGGGGCCACAGGGAAGATGCTCCCTTCTAGGGCATGCCCCCTTTGATCCACCTGCTCCAACTACATGCCCCCTGTGACCCACCTGCTCCTCCTACCTATAATTAACACCCAGTTAGCCCATTCAAACTAGGATGGACTGATTAGGTTATAGCTTTTGTGGTCTAATCATTTCACCTCTGACTATTTCTGCATTAACATAGGAACTTTTGGAGGACACCTCATATACAAACTACAACAGCATTAGAAGTTTTATAGCCCCTTTCCTACACATTTATACCCTGCTATTACTTTTCTCCTTTTTTGATTTATCTATTGTGTTCCTTAGATACTTTATTGGCTAGAATTAGAGAAATTATTTAAGCAACATGTTTTTGTTAGTTTCTCCAAAAGTTACCATTTTTGGCACTCATTCCTCTTTACATTCTATAGAACTAAAAATTCAGACGTTGAAATACCAAAGCTTTAGATATATAGCTTTTTCATCATATTTTCTTAATATTTCTGAAACTAATTTATTTGGAACCCTGCTTTTATTTTACAAGTTTAAATTATCTATGTTTAAAAATGTTTTCTGAGAGAGATTTGTCATATTGTGACATCATTATGCTTCAAAATACTTAAACATGGGCAATTTAGACATGTATAGCCTATATGATTTATGGGGGCAAAGGTGGTAGACCTATTTTCATAATAAAGTTAATTTTGAAATTGAAAGTTCAGATTTTGTATTTCTAGGTAGAATTTGTCATATACTTTAAAATGAAAGTTATTGGGGCAAATTAATTTTTCTGATTTATTTTCTTCCCATATTACATTGGAATATTGCTATAGCATTGGTTATAAAAACAAATTTAGGATAATGGTCATCTCATTTAAAGCCCACTCAAAAAGATTCCCATAGTGTCAAATAAGTTAAATGGCTTATTCTTTTGGCATTCATAATATACATCTAGTACTATTGAATATTAAACTTTTGATTTAACTCCTAATGACAGTTTCCTATGTGCCAGACACTGTGCTGTATGTCTTACATAGATCTCTTTTAATTCTTAAACTATAATCTTAAATAACCTTTTGAAATATTATCTCCATTTTATAGATGGAGTAGTCTAGTAAGAGATAATTTGCTCAATAAAAATGAATATTTAAACCCATGCTTATCTACGAGTCTCCTACTTTGTTCATTGAAGGGAAGGCTCTAACTGTATTTCAGATTCTTAAACATCAGAAGTATCATTTACAAACCAGTGATTTGTATTTGCCAATTACTTTCAATAATATATTGGAATTATGAATTCTATTATGAATTCTATTATTAACTTGTATTTAGGAACTCAAAATATCATTATTCTTCTTTTTCTGTTTGTTAGGCATCTCCAAGAGTTACTGTGGATGACTATTTAGTAGCAAAATTGGCAGACACTTTGAATCATGAAGATCCAACCCCTGAAATCTTTGATGACATTCAAAGAAAGGTATTGTATATTTTATCTTTCTTGAAAAAACTTCCAGGTTAATGTAATTATTTTTTTAAAAAGTTAATGAAATATAACTAAAAAGATAAGTTATAACAACAGTATCTCCCAATTCCAAAAATATAGGCCAATATTTTGTGATTATGTCTTTAATTCATCAACACGAAAAATTCTATGTTGGGGTTGCTTCATTTGAATCTGACTGAAGAGGCAGACTTCCTAGTTTTATAAATTGATGAATTGATGTATAAATAACAAGACTTTTTCTTATTAATTTGAGCCTTGAACCTTTATATTTACTCTACTTTTTTCTTAGAAAATTCTGTATCCTAGTACATTATAGATAGCTTACTATCATGTGATTGTGTTGACTAAAGTAGGACCATTTTCATTGTAACTTAGTTCCCAGAGGGACCAGAAATCATTATTTGGGATATAGTCATATTGTTCATGTATTACAACTATGATATATTACTGCAAGACTTTATTGTAGCTTTTGGTGAAATTTTATTTCACTATATATTTGTATTAATTATTGAATATCTTCAATTATTCCAATAAGGTATATGAGTTGATGCTACGAGATGAAAGATTTTATCCTTCCTTCAGACAAAATGCACTTTATGTGCGCATGTTAGCTGAGCTGGACATGTTAAAAGATCCTAGTTTCAGAGGATCAGATGATGGGGATGGAGGTAAGATGGCACTGTATGTATGTGTATGTGTTTATCCCTGTTTATATTCTGACTACCAAAGAATGACTTTAAAATAAAAAGAGATCTTGGGAAAATACACAGGAGAAAAATAGAATAGAGGGAGGGAGGAGGGGAGAGCTTTGGGAGGTACTAGTGAATGAAATTGACCAAATTATGCTATATATATATATATATATATATATATATAGCATAATTTCATAATATATATATATGAACATACAATGAATTCCACTTTTATATATAATTATAACACACTAATTAAAAGAAAATAATAAGGGAAAGGGGGAAAAATAATAGAAGGGAGACCAGTAGAACAAAGGAAAGGAACTAAAGAAAGAGAGATAGGGAGGTATTTGGGAGTGTGATTGATCAAATTACTTTGTATACATGTGCAAATATGTCACAATGAATCCCACTATTATGTATAATTATATACCAATAAAAACTACAAAAGAATGACCTTTTAAATTAGATTAAAAATGTTTTTAAAGCCCAAATGTAATTATATTTTTAAAGTTCTATAATGAATGACAAAAATTTAGTTGCTATATTGATATTAAAATGTTGAGAATTTATTATCAGACTAAAACTGCAGAAGGCTCAGCTTCTTGAAGAAGAATGTGTTCTTGTGGTTGATCATTTAGATATTTTTATGGTAGTTTCCCTTGTGCTAATAAGTTAATCAAGAAATAATATTCATTCTTTATAATGGGAGTATTGGACAGAGTAGGTGAGATAACAATGACTCAGAGTATATCATAAACTATGAAGTGATATAAAAAAAATTGAAGTTTTTTTTCTATTGTTATTGAATTGTTTTCCAAATCCTTGAATTGAATTGAATCCCATCTTTTATTGAATCTTAGTTTCTAAGTCTTCATCTGTGGAAGACATTTCAGCTGGAAGAAACCACAGTTATTTATTCTAAAGTTTCAATTTTTTCAAATGAGAATACTGAGAACTCTAAGCGTTTTATAGTGTAAAAAACAGAATTTAAGAGTCAGATATTTAGATTTTACTCACACTTTACTACTAATCTCTTGTAATATTGATATTGGTCTTGGAAATCAGAATCCTGTCCTCCTTCCCCTGGTGTTGTTGAAGATTAAACATTTGAGAAACACCTAGGTCTACTAGAAAGCAAATTTTACTTAAGAGACAGAACAGAGATAACAGACTTCTCTAAACAGAATATAGAACCCAGAGCTGGTGCCCACAGGAGTGGTGGTGTCTTGCTTTTTTGTAGCCCCCATCCTCTCTTACTTTTCTGCAATAGCCCAAAGGCAAGGAAAGAGCAGTCCAGAGAGTAATCCCTTATGTTGGAAAGTGTGATTTCTGCCCCCATCTCCACTGCAGCTGTTAACTATTGATTGAGCAGGGAAGTGGTATACTGAAGTTAGCTGATAGCAGCCCATTTCCTTTATTTATTTATTTATTTTTTTGATGATCAGCTACCTGTCCTTTGCCCCTCTCAGTGGTAGCCAACCATACATAATTGCTTTTAAGCTTCATTTCTTTTTCTTTTTTTTTTTTTTTGAGGGTTTACTTCCCAGATATTTTTAAACTGATTTAAAAAAAAATGACAGCGGAATGCATTACATGTGTACATAATTTTTCCATATCTCTGGTTGTATATAAAGTATTTTGACAGCAATTTATGTCTTCATATATGTACTTTGGGTAATGATGTCTATCATATTCCACCATCCTTGCTAATCCCTTGTCCTCTCCCTCCCACCCCTCTGCCCTATCTAGAATTTATTTATTCCTCCCATGCTTCTCCTCCCTACCCCACTAGGAGTCAACCTCCTTATATCAGAGGAAACTTTCAGCATTTGTTTTTTTGGGATTGGCTAACTTCACTTAGCATTATCTTCTCCAATGCCATCTTTTTACCTGCAAATGCCATGATTTTATTCTCTTTTATTGCTGAAAAATTCCACTGTGTATATATATCACATTTTTAAATCCATTCATCCACTGAAGGGCATCTAGGTTGGCTCCACAGTTTAGCTATTGAGAATTGTGCTGCTATAAACATTGATGTGGCTGAGTCCCTGTAGCATGCTGGTTTTAAATCCTTTGGGTATAGTCTGAGGAGAGGGATAGCTAAGTCAAATGGTTGTACCATTCCCAGATTTCCAAGGAATCTCCATACTGCTTTCCATATTGGCTGCACCCATCTGCAGTCCCAGCAGCAATGTATGAGTGTACCTTTTTCCCCACATCCTTGCCAACACTTATTGTTTGTCTTTATCATAGCTGCCATTCTGACTGGAATGAGATGATATCTTAGAGTAATTTTGATTTGCATTTCTCTAATATCTTCTGTTATAAATCTGGAATAATATTGGCATCATAGTATCTTAGTTCCATGTCATTGGATTTTAATGCAGTTATATATGAAAATGTACTCTTCTGCATATAAAACAAGAGTTTTTATGGTTTTAGTTTTACAAACTAAGTCAGAAATATCATTTTTTTCTCAATAGAAAGTAGTGAGTTGTGCAAGAAAAGTGGAGAGAAAGCCCTTTAGGACATAGGTCTTCAGATTCTTACCATTTTACTTGTGATTCAGAAGTATTGTTTAAGCTCTAAATATGCACGAGTTGACAAACTTTCTGATAAATATTCTACTAAGTAAATGAACAATATAATAAGAAGTAAATGACAAAGATTTGATTCAGCAAATATTTTAAGAGAGTGTATTAATTAAAATTTTGGCCATTTACTTATGAATAGGCTTTATTGACAGTATCACTTGGGGATAGGTATATAATAGATTCACACTTTTAAAAAATAATGCTCGCCTAACATGCATGAGGCATTGGGTTCAATCCTCAGTACCACATAAAAATAAAGATATTGTGTCCACCTAAAACTAAAAAATAAATATTAAAATGTAAAAAAAAAAATATCTCTGTTACGGAAGCATTCTAGCATCCCCTCTCTTTCTGCTTCCTACCATTCTGTTCAGAGTACAGAGATTTTTTTATAGAATATAAAGAAATCGATTTTGAGAAAAGTTTATATTTGAGCTTTAGTAACTTTTATATTGATCAAGGATCTGATTGAGACCTTGGGTTTTTAATTAATGTTCTTGTATAATTAGTATAATATTCTATTTACTCGATTTGATTAATTAGAGAAGATATTCTTTTTTAAGTAAAGTACTTCTGTGGGAACTGGATAGTATAATTAATGTATCTAGTATATTTGTATTTCTTGTCTCGGTTGAAAAGTGTTCTTTTACAGAGTTGGTATGAAATTTGCAATATCAGCTGTATATTTGCAATATCAACTAACCATCTTAAAATTACAATTTTAAAGTTTTATTGTTTACATTAATTTTATCTATCTTAGTATTTGTGGATTAGCTATACAACCCAGAGTGAAAGAAAATATTGAGTCATGATCAACTCATTGTGTTACTTTTTAAAAAAATATTTATTTTTTAGTTGTAGCTGGATATAACATTTATTTATTTAGTTAGTTAGTTATATATCACTCAGTGAATAACTCCTCACATTTGAATCATGGATTATAGTTTGGAATTATTTCTTTATATATCTTAAAATCCTTCTAGGGCATTGCTATCTAAGATTCTGGGTCCTAATTGATGAGTTTTTATACATTTTATACTGAGAAATTATCCCATTTTGGAAACCACTTTGAAATGTATATTATAGGTATAATAGGAAACATTGTTATTAAAAATGGCTTTTGACTTTAGTGTCTTTTTTATTATTCTTTTAGGCCATTGATATAACTTTCAACTAATAAATCTTCTGATTCAGTTTTCTCTATAAGATTATCAAAAATAGTCATTCTCCACATTTTTGCTTATAGTCTTATGGCTTTTGAAATTAAACTTCTCAGCAGTTAATATATATATTTTAGATATTTTGAAATGTTAACTACTTTTTAAAACATTCTGAAATAATTATTTAATACAGTATTACTGTGTGCCTGGCTTAAATTGAGCCCAAAATGAATGGGCCAAGTCTTGTGTGTGATAAGAATCCTCTAATGATTTTCTTTGCAAACTTCAACATTTTATTTTGATCAAAACTAAGTAGAGAGCTAATTAACTGAATGGCTTTCTTGGACATGCTCTCTCTTCTTTCTCGTCTTTTCCTCCACTTTTCCACTTGTCCTCTTCCTTCCTTCTTCCTTTTTGTTCATGATTGCTTTCTTTAGTTAAATCAGCCTTAAATTATTTTAAAAGTATAGGTTGGGTACCTCATATCTAAAATAGTTGGAACCAGAAGTTTTGTAGATTTTGAAATATTTTCAAAGGCTTTAAGTTGAGCATATCTAATCCAAAAATTGGAAACACAGGCAGCTCCAAAGACAAAAACTTTTTGAGTGCCATTTTGAATTCACTGTTTCAGATTTGGGGGAATTATGGATTTGGGGCTATGGGATTATGGATAACCTGGGGATATTTTCTCCTTTACTAAAGTAAGACCTCACAGTCTTCAAAAAATATTTAAATTATATTTTTTCATAATGTTGAGTAATAGTTGATTTTTTTGTTCTAATATTTATAGACATTTATTAAATTCTTGGTTAAATATGAACCAAGATTGATTTTAGACTGTATTTCTAGATGATGATATTATTAATTGAGAAAATTGACTATGCCTTATTTCGCTCTTGAATTTTCTCTTTAAATTGATTTGTCTGTGGTGGGGAGATTTAAGAGGTTGGCCCACAAAAGAGGCAGGAGGCATGTAACTTAATAAGGATGATAGTGAACATTTGTTTACTCATTTTAGTTATCACTTTCTTATAAACCAAGGGATCATCCTGGGTGCAATTTCCTGTTTGTATTTTGTGATCAAAGCTCTGAGAAACTAAGAAATATTCCTGGGCTTTTAAAGTTGTTTAAAGTGGAAGGCAATGCTTCTTTGTAGAGGTAGTAAAATCTTGCCTTTTGAAGACCCATTTAGAGAACCAATTTACAAGTAATTTCTTAATGGCTAGTAAACACATTAACTTTCAATTCTGTATGAAATATTGTGTACCATAGGTTTATTTATGTTCTCAAAATAGATACCTCAATTGATATTTCTTTAGATATAAAGTTAAAAGCCCTAAGGAAAAGATTATTTTTTGATATTGTTTAATAATATTTAATTGACTATTCTCTACCATTTATTTTTTAAAAATTTTCTTATTGCTTTTTAATGAAATTCATTGCATTTTATCTTATCTTTTGGACTATTAGCTACATAATAATTTAATAATGTAGACTTCAGGTGTTCTTGAAACAATTCTACTACCTTGTAAATGGATTTGATAGATACATTAAAAATCAGTTTATTTGTTCCTCACACTAATTTTATTCGGAATTTTTTTTTTGTAGTTTTATTTATTATGTTATTGTCTATACCTGTTTTTATTTGCACACCTGCTATATTTCATACTTTAGAGTTTTTCCCTTTTACTTTGTCTTTATTTTCTTTTTTCCCCTTATAATCACTGAAATCCCTTTATTTATTTATTTATTTATTTATTTATTTATTTATTTATTTATTTATTGCATTAAAATTCTTATTACACATATATACCACAATTCTTCATATCTGTTTGTATATAAAGTAGGTTGACACTCAATTCGTGTCTTCATACATGTACATCATCTCTAGCAATCAGAAATGCAAATCAAAAGTACTCTAAGATATCATCTCACTCCAGTCAGAATGGCAGCTATGATGAAGACAAACAACAATAAAGTGTTGGCAAGGATGTGGGGAAAAAGGTACACTCATACATTGCTGCTGGGACTGCAGATGGGTGCAGCCAATATGGAAAGCAGTATGGAGATTCCTTGGAAATCTGGGAATGGTACAACCATTTGACTTAGCTATCCCTCTCCTCAGACTATACCCAAAGGATTTAAAACCAGCATGCTACAGGGACTCAGCCACATCAATGTTTATAGCAGCACAATTCTTAATAGCTAAACTGTGGAGCCAACCTAGATGCCCTTCAGTGGATGAATGGATTTAAAAATGTGATATATATACACAGTGGAATTTTTCAGCAATAAAAGAGAATAAAATCATGGCATTTGCAGGTAAAAAGATGGCATTGGAGAAGATAATGCTAAGTGAAGTTAGCCAATCCCCAAAAAACAAATGCTGAAAGTTTCCTCTGATATAAGGAGGTTGACTCCTAGTGGGGTAGGGAGCGGGAGCATGGGAGGAATAAATGAATTCTAGATAGGGAAGAGGGGAGGTGGGGAAAGGGAGGAAGGAGGCAGGGGATTAGCAAGGTGGAATGTGATCGACATTATTTGTAATATTTTTTAACCCAGTGAGACTGAAGTGACAAAATAGTTCTGATATTTCCTATTGGGCTTTGATTTGCAGGGTTTTTTTTCTCATGCTTACTTTGTTTTGGACAATTATATATGATACTATGAGAATAAGAATAAAAATATTTAATAATTACTGAACAGTACATGAATGCCTTTTCATTTTGGTCAGCTATAAGTGCATCAGGTACATGGTACATATATGTTTTCACCAAAATGCCTGGTTGATTTGGAAATTTGGTATATAAGAAATTAGGTGTTTGGGAAGTATACCACCAACTTTCCTTACTGTTCTCTTCATGTCTTGGCTAAGAAGACTTGCATTCTTGGTGTTTGACCTTTAGAGAAAGCAACCACTCCAAAAGCTTTTTTTTTTTTTTTTAATTTTTAATTAATTAATTAATTAATTAATTTATTGGTTGTTCACAACATTACAAAGCTCTTGACATATCATATTTCATACATTAGATTGAAGTGGGTTATGAACTCCCAATTTTTACCCCAAATGCAGATTGCAGAATCACAACGGTTACACATCCACATTTTTACATAATGCCCTATTAGTAATTGTTGTATTCTGCTACCCCAAAAGCTTTTTACTGTGTACTAATTTGAAATTTCCCCATACAGAATCTTTTAATGGGTCTCCTACAGGAAGCATAAATTTGGTAAGTACTATTATGGGTACATTTATTATTAAAGTGACTTGAAAATAATGTGAAAGACTGGGTCTTTACATATGTAAATAAGTGATATATTCAAAGTCCCAAATTGTTTTTTAGTATTACTTGAACATTACTATGCTTTTAAAGAAAATATTAAATTTATATGTAAGACATATAAGACATCTGCAAATTAGCATTCTAAGAGTATTTTATGTTTTATTTCAAGGAATGGGATATGGTTATACCTGCATGATTGCAGTTGCATTTTATAAAGGAATTAATTTATTATTTTCCATTGTAATATTTATGCTTTGAGATCATTTTTTTCTTCTCATGTTTAGAAAAGAAATATTAAACTATTGAGGATAATGATAAATTTCTAGATATTTCTCAAAATCTGCACCAAAGCAAATTAAAATACATGTAAAAATGTTTATTTACAAAGAGTTTTATAGCAAGCGTATCTTATGGTTCAAAGATTACATGTTTTTAGCGTGTATACTGCCGATGGAATTTCATATCTTCAGGGTGAAGTATGAAGAAATGGACATTTCATTATTCTAATATATCCAGCATTGCTATTAAATAACTTCCCAAAATGCTATTAGAAAGAAATATTTATGTTTTATGAGATATTCAATCCGTAGTTTGGTGGATAGAGGAGAGTTGGAGAAGGGGTGAGGGAGAAGTAAAGGATTATTTATTTTGTTTTTTCTTCCACTTGCATTATTTTTCTTTTGAATCTTTTGTAGTAGCTAACTGGTTTAGAGGTCTGTTGTCTTGTCAATAATCTATTGCATAAGTATTCTATTACTGTACAAAGTATAACCTTTAGCAAAGCACTGAAATCATCCATAGTAATATGTCAGATGTCTGCATAAGTTTTTTATCTAATAATTTTTAAGAAGTTATCTTACATCAATCGGCGTCATTACTGTTTACTTTTTAGTCCAAAGTGTACAAGAGAAAAAGAATTGCTCCTAGAGCATGAGGGAAATGTTAGCACTAATGTTCATTTTACAGAGAAAGTTTCCAAAGGAGAGTAAGTGTTTCTTTGGTTTGAAATTTTTAGTGTTCACGTTTGTAGTGTTTTTTTTTTTATTATTGATTTTTAAATAAATAAATAACAGCAGAAAGCATTATAATTCTTATTACACACATACAGCACAATTTTTCATATCTCTGTATATAAAGTATATTGACACCAATTCGTGTCTTCTTTATAACATTTGTACAAGTGTTTAAATACTACCAAAATTTATTTTTACTTATTTCTTACTTGGAATAAATACCTTTTCAAATAAAAGAGATTTCTTTTGTTACAGTCTAAATATAAAAAATATAATAAAATGGAAATTAATATTAAAAAATGGAAAGGAAAAGGTAACATTTGAGGGCAGTGACTTGTAGTATTTTGTTCTCATAAATCTATTTAAGTCAGTCTTTTAAAAAAGTAGTTGAAGTCTTTCACATTGTTTTTAAAACATCAAATTTTTGTGAATAGCTGCATTTTAAAAGCAGTTTGATTATAAACAAAATTATGATAGTTTATTTCAATATACTAATCAAAGAAGATATTTAATGTATTTGATGTTTACTCATTTATCAATTGAGATTGGCAGGTAAATTTTTTCTATCATTTTTAGCAGTGCCCTTGAAATTGCTTGCTAAACCATCAGGGAAAATTTGTGTTTTTAGTTAGGCACATTTCAGACACCTGCACTCCTAGCTACTTGGGAGGTTGAGGCTGGAGGATCACTTTAGCACAGAAATTTGAGGCCAGTCTGAGAAATTTGGCCAGACCCTATCTCAAGAATAGGCTGAGGAGGTGGGAGAGGTGGGATTTGTATTTTCATTTTTTGCCTTACTATTATGTTAAAATACATACCACTTTTTCTTTCAAGAAATTTAAGAATCTTAAGGATTAATTTGTAAGTTGTATTTTATTTCAGCACAAGATTAATGTACTTATTTCAAAATAACTGTTGTATCCATCAGTACTTAACGTTTCGAAATCAGATGTAGTCCTGTAGTTAATATACATTTTACTGATTGTCATTTTATAGTCTGCTTGTTATTTACATGGGCAATATAATTAATAACTAATGTTTAAGAGACTTTTATAGTGATAAGTACATTTAGATTTTAAAATGTAGCCTACAAGGGAAGATTAATAAAGATTGTGCTATTTCTATTTACATATTTTACTATGTTTCATGTGAAAACTTAAAAATTTAAGTATGTTCTATTTCTTTTCAAATAGTTGAAAATATTTTATTCACATTTTTAATTTATTTTTTAGTTGTAGTTGGATACAATACCTTTATTTTATTTACTTATTTTTATGTGGTTGAACACAGGGCCTTGCCATGTGCTAGGCAAGTGCTCTTCCACTGAGCTAGTCCTTTTATTCACATTTTATCCTGACAAATATGTAGAGCAAGTAGGAGCATCATTTTACCATTGGAAAAACTGAAATATAAGAAGGAGTAGTTAATAAGGTGAAGGTCTCTTAAGGTACCATATTTTACTGCATAATCATTGCCATTGCATAAATTCATATTCACAGATATTCTGTAAATCCTAATCTTATACCGCACTGTAGTAATGATTTTTAGTAATAAATGATTTTTAAGTAATACTAGCACAATTTTTTAAAAAAGGTTCACATAATGACCATACCACATTTTTTTGCAAAAAAAAAAAAATTGCATAAAACCTGCAATGATTAGGTGGTGAGATACAATATCAGTACCAGAACCTTTTGGTGGTGTAAATGTCTGTGTACTTTGTGGCAATTTGTTTTTGATTTTTTTAAATTTAGACTCAAAGGCCACAGTTACAAAATACTCATTTGGATCAATCAATAATATTTGTGGAATTCTTTTTGAAAAATATAATTTTAATTCAATTACACTTTTCAAAAATAATTCAACCAACAAAAACCTTAGTCTGTGGATTCACTTCATTTAATAAGTAATCTTAATAATAATAGGTAACATTTGCTGTGTTAGGCACGTTTTAAAGTATTTTACGTATTTTAATTAATTCTTATAGATAACCTGTGTTATAAATATTATTATACCTAAGAAATCTAAATTTACTGATAAAATTACTTCTGAATTAAGTATTAAAAGAATACAAAGGTGGCTGTAATATATTTTAAATTTAAATGGTAAAGTGTATCTACTTATTTTAATTTTTATTTTCTTGCCATATGTTGAATACAGTTGAAAAGTAGCAATTTACAGTTTATGGACAAGCAGTGAAGAAGAAACTATCTGATATTCCATATTTTCTTAATCTTGGCTTTTCTCTTTCTTAGTGTATTAAAATGGGTGTACTTATTTTATAGGGGTGTGGTAATACAAATAATATAGGTTTGCCTGTAAAAATATGAATATGTATATTTTATGTAGAATTCTGTAATAGTTTAAAACTAAAATTTAGTTTCCTGATTTTTTTTTCCAGTCTTTAGATGACCTTTCAAGTGTATCTTCTGATGACTCAGTACAACTTCATGCTTACATTTCAGACACTGGTAAGAGACTTTGTAGAATAATTATTACTTTAAAACTTTATTATATCCCTCAAGTTATTCACTTTTACAAATTATATTTTTGTTTTGTCATATTTTTAAGTCCACCACCATACCCTCTCAGCATGTTCTTCATTAAATTCTGTGGTTTCTGCTTGGTTATTTTCCTTTTTCTAAGGTGTCATTATTATCATTTGAAAATGTTTATATTCCAAGTACTTTTCATTTCTAAGAAACTCTGAAACCGGTGTTTTCCTCTTGGTACTTGAGTTTGACTGACAATTGTTTGTATAATTCTTTTTTGAGGAAATCTCAGTTCAGTAGTTTTTCATGCATGCAGAATCAGAGTAGAGAATGGGACTAAATGAAGTCTCTAGATATATGAGTTTGTAGATGTTCAAGAAATGCCTGAATGGGGTGAGAAACTTCTAGGACTTTGTAATCAGCCATCATATATGCAGAATGGTTAATGTACCCAGAAAAAAAAAAATCAATATCCATCATTACCATTAATTTATTAAATAATGCTAATGAGTACAAGATGATGCTATTTTTCTTATCTGGCCTCTTCATAGAATATAGGAATGTGTTTGACCCTTAAATACTGAATGTAAACATACTGAGCTACATCCTTCAGTTCTGTTTCATGCCTACATTTTAGATACTGAAAAGAAATTTTGTAGTTCAGTTTAGAAGACATTAATTTGCATTTTTTTAATATTTATTTTTTAGTTGTAGTTGGACACAGTACCCTTATTTTATTCATTTATTTTTATGTGGTGCTGAGGATTGAACCTAGGGTCTAGCACATGTGAGGTGAGCACTCTACCTCTGAGCCACAACCCCAGCCCCTTAATTTGCATTTTTAAAGACAATTATTTTCTTTTGTGTTTTACTGGAGATAGACTCTCATACTGCTTTCTCTTATCTGGCACATTTCTGGGGTAAACTATCTATAATTGCTGACTTAATTGTTCCTTTATATTTACATATTGTTGGTGCATAGATTACTCTGCTCTTAGAGGTCATTGATAACTTTATTGTCAATAAAAGCAGAGGTCTTCTTTCCTTTCTAGCTTTTGATATTGTTGTTCCTCTTTTTTCTTCAATGAATTTTTAATTTCTTTTGAACATCTCTATACTCTCTGTTTGCTTTTTTCTAATCATGAGTCTTCCTGAAGGTACAAATTTTTATTATTTATATTTTTATTTCTTAGAAACCTTAAACTTTTATGTCTAGAGGAAGACACTTATGTCCATGCTCCTAATGGTAATATTTCTCTTTTCTGAGAGTTTTGGTTTTCTAACTGCTTTATCCAGTTGTTCATTTACTCAATAAGTATTTATTAACTTCCTAAAATGGATGGAAACATTAATACTAGACATTTTTAGTGAATTGTTATTTCTATTAGACAAACTTATATGTAGATGCTGATAAAGCAGCATAGTTAAGAGCCCAACTTTTTGACTGAATTGCTTGGGTTCAAACCTTAGCTCTGCTGCTTAATAGTTGGAAGAATGCCCTTAACTTTTCTGTACTGCAATTTTTTCATCTGTGAAATAAAATAATAATACTTTTTAAAGAATACATTTTTAAAGACATTGTTTACCTTACCTCATAGTATTATTATGGGTTAATTGATTATACTTACATGGTAGACATGACATGTAAATGTTCAAGAAATATTTATTTTTCCATTTGAAAACCAGAATCATTTGACTTTTTAAAATTTTTAATATTTATTCTTTTTAGTTATACATGACAGTAGACTATAATTTGACTTATTTATATAAACATGGAGTACATCTTAATCTAATTAGGAGTTGTACATCATGTAGAGATAGTTGTACATCATGTAGAGATGGTTGTACATCATGTAGAGATTCACTGTGGTGTATTTATATATGTACATAGGAAAGTTACGTTGGAATCATTCCGCTGTCTTTACTATTCCTGTTCCCCCTCCCTTCTTTTCATTCCCCTTGGTCTAATCTATGGAACTTCTGTTCTTTCTCCCTACCTTGTTGTTTGTTAGCGTCCACATATCAGAGAGAACATTTGATCTTTGGCTTTGGGGGATTAGCTTATTTCATAATACTCTCCAGATCTATTCATTTTCCAGCAAATATCACAAAGTGATTCTTTTTTATGGCTGAATAGTATTCTATTTTCTTTATCCATTCTTCTGTTGTAGGGCACCTAGGTTGGTTCTATAGCTTAGCTATAATGATTTGAGCTGCTGTAAAGATTGATGTGGCTGTGTCACTGTAATATGCTGTTTTATTAAATCCTTTGGGTACATACTGAGGAATGTAGTAACTGGTCCTGACATGTTTTTAGCCACCATTGCACCAATGCTGTGTTATATAGGGTAGTCCACTGACTCTAATGAAAATGTTACAGTAAAAAATATTGCCTAAATTAACAATGTGGTTAGTGATGAGGTTGATTTATATTCTGGTCTACTTTCTTACCTAATTATGTATTAATAACAAATGGTTTACAGAACATGTGTTATTTGTAGCTATTGGCCTAATAAACAGGAAACCTTCTAGTTAGATTACCGTCTTCTCAAAGTAAATACATGTAGCCAAATTATCTTCTTTAAAATCAAAATTACGTTTCTGTGTTTTGTACTTTTTTTATAACAACTTTATTACTGTTCTTTTGTGCTTGTACCTGGGTGATCTCCCCTGCCTAGCAATTTGTGACAGTCCTTTATAAAGGACTTATATTATTCTCTTCTTCCTTTTATATTTCTTGATGTTCTACTTGATCTTGTTAACTTGTAATTGTTTGTGGCTAGCTGCCTAATTGGCCTCTGCTTTCTTTTCTGTTTTTCTCTTCCAAATCTGTTTTGGACACAGCTATAAAGTCATTCTCTGGTGGGGATGCCAACTCTGTAAAGGTGATTCTCTAACTAAATGAAAGTGGTGTGCTATTTGATCTGCATAGTTAGATCACTATCTGAGAGAAAGTTGATTGTAAGAGGTGAATACAGTTAAAGGCTCTTTGTAGAGCGTGGTGACCAAAATCTTATTTCTAGGGTAGGTTTTTTTTTTTTTTCCCTTTTTCTTGGGCAGGGTGTTAAACTAGGAATAGTAATATTAGATGAAAACAGAATGAAGAATAGTTTTGAGTAGGAAGTACAAATCTTAGAAAAATATTGATGAAAGCCTAAGAGATATAAGTCCTTCTTACCAATATAACTATCTGGCTTTTATCTTATTAAAATAATTTATCGAGAAGCTATTTAGAACATCTCTTCAATTTCAAAACTTGATCCCTTTTTTTTCATGATTGAATCAGTGTAATCCATTTTAAGATTAATTATAGACTCCTAGAAAGTAAAGTAGTCTAAACTGCTGTGGGTGATCCTGCTTCCCACATACAGAAAAGCAGTATACAATATTTTAAAAATAGTTGAAATGGGAAATCTAAAGGTGCTATAATCCATGAGACAAAAAAACAAATTCTGGAAAGTGAAGAGTTATTGAAGCCAAGGAATTTATGGTAACCAAAAGATCACTGTTTTGATGTTGATATCATTTTTATGCCTTCAAGCTTAGAAGAGGCATGATGAGACAAGGCCATAGGAAACTGAAACCATGTCCTTTGCATAAAGCCAAGAATACAAAGGATAGTATGATGGTGAAGAGGAATTAGAAAAATTGAGTTTACCTTCAAGTAGAAAGAGATAGAAATGTCAAGATCATGGTTAGAAATGGTATCTATCACCCACAAGAAATGAAAAGCCCAGTTTATATCCCAACATAGATGTGTCTGGATTTAGCTATCTTTAAGTGATTGTATACTCCAGGATCTCAAGCCAGAGATTTAAGTACAACTGTTTATCCCTTGGTATCTGGAAGGTTTTGTTTCCAGGACCTGTGCAGATTCTGAAATCCACAGATGCTAAAGTCTCTAATATAAAATGGTGTAATATTTGCATAAAACTTAAATACATTCCTCATATATTTAAATCATCTTTTATTACTTATAATACATTATAAATATTATGTAAATACTTGTATTGGTTACAGAAAAATGATACAGAAAAAAATCTGTACTTATTCAGTAAAAAACACATTAAAAAATATCTTCAAGGCATGGTTGGTTGAATGGAGGATGCAGAACTCATGGACACAAAGGAGCTGATGTATTGAAATAGTTTCCAAACCTCTGAAACTACCACTTACAGTGGGGACCCTAGTAGATGTTAGTGTTCCATGTTCCAGGGCACTAAGAATGCCCAGAAGAGACAACACCTATTAAAAGTGTATTTATAAAAAGCAATTTAAAGAGATGGGAAGAAATACGAACCACCATCAGGTCAACAGACCCAGCAAATGAGATAAATTTCATCCTAAGGACTTAGAGAAAGCAATCTTTTTTTTAAAACACAGAGCCACATCCCCAGCCCTTTTTAAAATTTTCATTTTGAGACAGGGTCTTGCTAAGTTGCTGAGGCTAGCTTTGAATTTATAATCCTCCTGCTACAGCCTCCAGAGTTGCTGGGATTACAGGTGTGTACCATCATGCCTGACGAAGAAGGCAGTCTTAATAGACATTATGTACATTAAAAATATTCATCAAGCCAGGCACACAGTGGTGCATGCCTGTGATTCCAGCTAGTTGGGGGACTGAGGCAGGAGTATTACAAGTTCAAGGCCCACCTGGAATATTTATTGAGAACATGTCTCAAAATTTAAAAAAAGAAAAGAAAGAAAAAGGGTCAGGGTTGTAGCACAGAGGCCGAATGCTCTGGGTCTAATTCCTGGTTAATGCCCCCCACCATGCTCCCTGATATTCATACAGATAAATCCTGAGGCAAGAATAAATGGTATGAAAAAAAGAACCAAATTTAGAAAGAAAAAACATACCGTGATTGAAATCAAGGTCAGATGGATTAAGAAATGACCAGATACAGATGAGGGGAAGACATTCAAGTTTTGGAGACCTAACCTAGATTAAAGTAGAGAACAGAGAATATAAAGTCAAAAAGATAAGTTAAAGAACATGATTCAAAATACGTCTCTCTACCTAAGATTAGTACAAAATGGGAGCTGATTTAGATTTTAAAGACTACATGACTCAATTGGTGTATCAGTAGGAAAATAATGGGTGTTTTTGTGTGTGTGTATGTGTGTTGTTGTTATTGTTAAATCCTCAGAATAAGTACTTGTGAATTGTTGAATATTATCAAAGAGAAAAATAATTGCCAGTAGATAAATCTTACTTATCTTATGGCTTTGACTGTTTACTTGAAAAGATTTCAATTGAAATGCAACCAAATAATGAAGGCTAGTACAAAAGATTTAAGTAAGCTCTTGGATTTAAAATAGATTAAAGATCTTAGAGAATCCAAAATAGACATCTCTGAGGCTGGGAGTGTCATAATAAACTTTTAGCTCATTTTGTATTCTTACCATCATTTGTAATGCCTTACACATGTTAGTATAGAGGACAGGAATCTGTTTTATCCTTTGGTAACATCCTTTTGTCTCAGTCTGTCATTTCAAATTCTTCTTCATTTCATGTTGTCTTTTTTGTTTTTGTTCTTCATCTTCCTCCTTTTTGTGTCTTTTGTTCCTCTTCATTTTGTTTTAAATGATTAGTATATGCTGACTATGACCCATATGCTGTGGCAGGCGTTTGTAATGATCATGGCAAGACATACGCATTATATGCCATCACCGTACACCGGCGCAATCTAAACAGTGAGGAAATGTGGAAAACCTATCGTCGGTATAGTGACTTCCATGACTTCCACATGAGAATTACTGAACAGGTAATGAGGTTTTTAAAGATTTTATACTTTATATTGTTTGTTAATTCAGTTTTGGTTCTAAATTTTTCTAAGGATGTTCAGATATTAATTACAGCTAATGAAAGAAAATAAGGTAAGAATTTTTTGTATTCAGCATAAAGATTAGAATGATTTTGAGCAATTAACTAATAAATTAAATGTTGAGAACTTCACTCATTCTTGCCCGTTTTTGTAGACTAGTGAATAAAGTATTAGTTAGTGGAAATAATACCTTAGAAAATTAAAATGAATACATATTTCTGATTTTAATAGTTTTTGTGTGTGCAAGCGCTTTGTAAAAGTGTTGATTGAAGTAGGGATAGGATTGCTGTAGCACCTTTAATGCTCTTTCTTTTGGAGGCATAATTCAGAACTTTAATTATTTTATTTACTAATTTTTTTGGTATCCAGGATTCAATGCATGGGTACTTAACCACTAAGCCATGTCTCCAGCCCTTTTTATTTTTTATTTTGAGACAGTGTTACTTAGGGCCTTGCAGTGTTGCTGAGGCTGGTCCTAAACTTGAGATCCTCCTGCCTCAGGCTCCCAAGCACCTGGCAGAACTATAATTCATCCAACAGTGTGATGTTAAATCTTTTGGTCCTTTGTTTAAGTTTTTTTTAACCACAATCTAAAATAAATTTTACATTAACCAAATAGTGTTTCTAATTCTTTCTCAATTTAACTGTCTTGTGCTATTGAAGTAACTATAAGGACTCTTAAAGTAACAAATGTAAAAAAATTATTTCCCTTTTTCTTATTTTGATTAAATATTTTATCTTCTCAACTTAGAAAACTATTGAAAGTCTTTTATTTATTAAGATTTTGAGGTATACAAGTAATATTGTCAATAAAAAATAATAAAGATGATACCTGATAGATGGGGTGACATGGTTTCAGAAAAATTTTTTTTAAAATATTTATTTTTTAGGTTTAGTTGAATGCAATACCTTTATTGTATTTATTTATTTTTTTTTATGTGGTGTTGAAAATCTAACCAAGGGCCTTGCACGTGCTAGGCGAGTTCTCTACCACTGATCCACAACCCCAGCCCTCAGAAAATCTTTGTCGGTTAAGATAGTGGAAAAAAATATGGTTGGTACAATGATAATCTCATTAAAATATTTTGTGGATAGAGTGAGATATATAAATGTTACTTACAAATGATTAAAAACAGAAGGTTGGTATTGAATTCTGAAGCCTATATTAATAGAACTACTTTGAATTATATATTCATAAGGAAATGAATAACTTTTGACATGTCTGTTATTTTGTTTTGTGTTTAGTAGTACTTTTCCTTCATTTTTATCTTTATTTATTTGAAGAGATGAAAGAATTTTCTGTCCTACATTGAAGAAGTAATTGCTTTCTTTTTCAAGTGTTAACCTATTTGATAATTATGAAAGCATTCGGCTCACATCTTTCTTCCTATCCCTACACTGTCACCAAATATGATAATTTTAAAAAACAATCCAAATGGCCAAGAGTAGTTTTATATAGTGTAAATTTATAGGAATTTGGCCTAATGTGAAATTTTTTTTCATTAAAAAATTGTAATTTTCTTTTTACTGAGAAACAACGTTGTTTAATTTTAAATGTTATACACTAAGACTATAAGATTTTGTTTCCATATTGCCAAATATAAGTGAAGAATATACTTCAAAAAACTTTGTTAATAAGACATTTGATGTAGAAATTCCCCTTTTCAGAACAACAGCAATAATTGGATGGAATTTATATAGGTCAGTTTTCCAAATGGCTTCATACAAGTGAAGTGGGCATGTTTTGACTTGGTGTTTCTTATGAGATCACAATAATTGTAACTCCTTAAGTATTTAGATTGCTCACAGGGTTTAAGAAATTAAAAAATTGAGCTTGTGGGTGAAAATTAGGTTTATCCTATTATTAAGCATCTTTAAGATGAGCTGCTTGTCTTTTGGTTTTTCTTCATCTGTAAGTTTTTAAATTCAAATTCTCGATAAAATAGTAGAAGAAAAATGCAGTGACTTGTAATTTATCAGATAACGGTATTTATATGCTTGAATATTAACATTAATTTAAAAAAAACCAAAATTTCAAGTCTACTGTTAAAATATTCTTGCTGTATTAGCAATCTAAACCTGATATATTTAATTTAGAAAGATAGTCATTGAGTTTAGAATGTCTATGATTTATATATATAATATTTGAGATCTTGGTAAACCTAGACATACTGCTTTATGTGAATTCTTTTTCAGCTTATTTCTAACTTCTTTCTCATGCTTTTTTAAAAATATTCTTATGATATTTTGATGAGTTCATTTAGAGTAAAATCTCCCATTTTTTCTCTTAACGTATATCATAACAATATTTGAGATAATTGTCATTTATATTTTTGTTCCATTCAGATAATGTAGATGACATTTGTCTTGATAATCTAGATATTCTGTGCTATTATAACATGTATATATATTTTTTAATATTTTAAAGTTTCTGGCATAAATTTTTATTTTAATAGATACTATCTTATTTCCTTGGTGTATTCATTTGTTAGGGCTGACATAACAGAATACCACAGCATGGCTTACTTACACAACAGAAATTTGTGTTTTTATAATTCTGGAAGCCAGGAGTCCAAGATTCAGATTTTGTCAGGTTTGTTTTCTCCTGAGGCCTCTCTCCTTGCTTTGTAGATGGCCATCTTGTTGCTATGTCTTCACATGGTTCTTTTCTCTCTGCAGTCTTTTTATGTATCCAAATTTCCTATTATAGGACACCAGTCAGACTGGTTAATGGCCCATATCAAAGGCTCTGTTTAATTTAAGCACCTTCTTTAAAAGTTTACTCTTCAAATACAGTCACAGTCTGAGAGGTTAGGTCTTAAATATATGAACTATGAAGGAATTACAGTTCAGTCCCATGGTATGTGGTAAGGTCAGAATGAGCTATACGTTTTATAAAATTGAATCAGTAGTTTAAGATGTGAATGAGTAACATTTCAGGAATATCTCTTAGGACACATTGAAAAGTAAATTTGCTTCCATAAAATTTGATTGCTTTTAAAATAATTTAAATTTATAAGCCAGATATTCTCTGTTCAACATTTCATATTCAGTGAAGACCCATTTCTGTTGATTTTCTGAATCACCAAATTTATGAATATCACTACCAAATAATGTTTTCTCTGTAAATTGCCCCTAGCATTTTTTGTTTAACTTATTATAACTGCAGCAAAAGAACTACTTGAACCTTGTATGTATATCATAAAATAATCTTGTTCACATTCTAGCACTTGTTCACATTTTAGCTCTAAACAACCATCAGATTTTTCATAACGTTTAATAATTTATCCGAATCTTCCAGTTTGGGAATAGAAATTATACTAAACCTCTTTTTCTCTTGTTTTTAATCTTTGCAACAGAAATCAGTTTTCTTTACAGAGATGTTACTGTTTTAAGCAAAGAATTTTTTTTTTAAGTTGTTTTGTATCTCATGGGAAAAGCAGTGAGGCTGCTTAAAGTTTCAGGTCTTAGGCTGTTGGCAAGGATAGCCATAGCTCTTATACTATTTTCAGCAGCCAACATGATTAAAAACTCCTGTGTTTCAGAAATGCATACCTGATTACTATCATGGACCTTTGAAGTTGCTCCCAAATGTTAAGTCTATAAATGTTAGGCTAATAGTATGTACACATATTCTTTTTGTTAATTTTATAAAGGTAAGATACATGCATATGGCTCTTAAGGCTTTTATTTTTATTTATTTATGTATGTATGTATGTATGTATTTATTTTAGTGTAAACTGTAGAGGTTTTTCATGTAGTTAAAGGGAAGATTATCAGTGTTTGTTATAGTTTATTAGTATACCTGCTCTCTATATTTTGAAATTTGCCTTTTCTACTTCTAGTAATTATGTATTGTAATTAATTGATTTGTAGTCATTAATATTGAGAATATTTTTATTAGACTTTCTAACAAGCCAGGAGCTCATCACTTTGATCATTAAAACTTTTATTTGTCAATATTTTATTCACAAGTAAAAGGGTTGTTAAGGAAAATATTTTTTAAAATCTTTTATTATGAAACTTTTTGAGTAATCTGAAAACTAGAATATTAAAACCCCAAATGTTTTATACTCAAATGATTCACATTTGTAATTCTTAACTGAAAATTTTTTTATAATAAAAAACATGAGAACTGTGGGGAATGTTTGTGATGGTACTTCTCTTTTTATAAAAACTTAAGACTATTGAATGTATTTTGTCTTATAGTTTGAAAATTTGTCAAGCATATTGAAGCTTCCTGGTAAAAAGACTTTTAATAATATGGATAGAGATTTTTTAGAAAAGAGAAAAAAGGATCTAAATGCCTATTTGCAGGTAAGTCCATGTTTATTATTTTCTGTGTTTTTAGTATAACACCATAGATTTCTTTATTAAAGAACAGAGACTGGAAGTGTAACTCAGTGGTAGAGTACATGCTCATTAGGATACCGAAGACCCTGGGTTCAATTTCCAACATCAGAAAAGGAAAAAATATATATATTTTTACTATAATAGTGGAATAACAACCCTTTTCTGAGTAATTTGTCAAATGTGACATGCAGGCCAGTCAGGAATGTATAAACACTATTTCTGTGCTTATTGATAACTGAGAAGTTTTCTAAACACTCAGTGTTTGGGATTTTGCTTTTTTAAGTTTAGATGAGTACATGCACACATGTACCCTTTCCAAATTAAAGTATAGGTATTTTATGGCATAATAAAAAGTTAAGTATCTCAAATTCAATACATAGTATTGAATTATATATTAAAAGTGAACAGATTTAATTTTAATTATCAGTGTAAATGCCTTCCATGGCCTAGAATGATTCTAAGGCTTCTAAAATTATAGAATAATTCAAGAGAGGTTTTATCATCTAAAGGGCTATTCTTTTTTTCTTTCTTTCTTTCTTTCTTTTTTTTTTTTT